TGTATATTATCGTAACATGTTAAAATAACATAAACCATTAATTATGCATAGAGTGCAGCTGGAGATATTTAAAAACCAGAATTCGTTTCAAAGTATTTTAAAATTTCTATTGTATTTTCTCATACTCATTTTCCTCAGCCATAAAATCAACCAAGTTTCTGATCACCAAGTGTTGGAAAGTGATAAAATAATTCTAGGTTCGCAGGAGTACAGCTTCCTTTCTTTACCATGTGTTTAAAATGAAAGCATTTAACTTGTTACTTGTATAGAAGACAATGTTTATGTCAGATCAATCTAGCTATTACTCCTTCTATCTTCACAATTTACACAAATAGCGCAGCAAAAACACTCCACAAATAAATTAACCTGTAAGCACCTAACTCATCACAGTGGTCAGCAGCTACCGTTTCTGCAGTGTCTTACCCAAGCAGCTTCATTAACAGTTCACCCATTTAAAATAAGGAACTGTCACCAGAAAAGCAAACTTTTTGTGATAAAGCTACAAGGCCACTTGGACCTTTTCTGAGTTTCATACAGAATGCTGACCAAATCAGAAGAAAAACTGGAGGGGGATGGAGGGAGAAGGGGGAAACAACAGAAAAACAGGTAGCCTATTTGATTCCTACAAAAGGCACACTGCATGAGAGAACAACCAGTACCCCTGTATATACCACACATACAGGAATTACGATTTTAAAACCACAAGAATTGCCTTCAGAAAATTCAAGTTAGGTGTGGTTGTTGAGTTGCTTTCAGATGAGCAGAACCACTTTACAGTAACTACATACAGTAACAAAAAACAGTGGCCACATATGTGGACCTGACAGGTGAACCCAAATTTTTGCCAGGAATTTCCCAGCTACTGGGCGACAGCACAGAAACAGCAAGATTTACAAGACTGGGGTCCAATCCAGGTTCCTAAGAGAAGGGTATTCTAGTGCCTGTAAGTCTCCCCTCTGCCCCACGATCTTCCTTCCCATTATTCACATCACACTACAGAATTAGACTCACTGTGAAGGTTTGGAGTGGGTGTATGAAAACTGCTTTTTTCAGAGATGCCACTTGTCTGACTTGTAATTAATTTTTAAATGGAGGGGGGAGAAACATATCCTTAACAGCGTGTGGATTGCCTGATGACGTCCAAACTCATGCTACAAAGCTTGGAAGAGCAAAAGTTTAAAAATTAAACCATTTAAATATTACTAGAATCTAAATACATACTATCTGCCCGATTTAATTTCCTAAAATAATTGAAGTTCTCAAAGATACTCCCACTCAAGTACCTGACATCAGAAATGCCAGCTTCTACAAGTATAAATAACCAAAACCATGACTTTCTAATAGGAATGCTCACAGCTGATGTGTTACACATTTCTATCTGCATCTTGCACAAAAGAAATTCAAGTTGCTCACTACCCCAATCACCCCCAATCAAAAGAATTACTAAAATAGTTTCTGAACTATATTACAAAGAATACACCTAAAAAAAAATTAGGTAGTCTTAGGTAATTTTTTAAATTTGCTTTTCTTTAAGTATTGTTTTTATAGGCATGCATTCCTTAATAGAAACTACAAAAGGTGAATCTACAACAATCCAGTATTTCTCGTTTAAGGACAAGAAAGTGCATCACCTGGTGTAACTTCAAAGTACAGAAAAATCAGATTATGAATAAGGCAGCACTCTTCTGATTTCATGGCAAATTTTAACCTATAGGAAAACAGCTATTATAAAATATGCCAAAAATTCTAAAATGAAACTTCTGAATTTACATTTCTTGCACATCACTAGAGAAGACCTGTGTACAAAACAAACTTTCTTATTCAGTATGCAGGAAGCCCTATACTGGCAACGGGCACACTTTGCTATTTGATTAAAAATATGAGAGTTCCTTGTGCTTACTTTACAATTCAATAGTACTATTGTTTCCTTCGAGTGTGGTTTGGATAAAGCGCAACAGACAGATTCTCACAAGGAGAAACAAGGAGGCAGGAGGAAATAAAAGGGATCGTTTTGAAAAGGCATTTTTGTGGCCTCACACACACAGCAGGATTTAATAATTTAAACAATGACTCTGTCCTCTTCCCTGGGAATTGAATTTAACTGAAGACACAGGTTTACCTGACCTGACTGCACAGGATCAGCCAAAAAATTTCTACAATTACTTCCATCCTTTGTTAAATCTGGGAGGTATTACAGAATTTCCAAACACCTAATTTCACTGCACGAAACTGTGGCCACTAACAGAGTGAATTCCCATCATAGTAGGTAGCCATCTTTTTACCACTGTTAATAAGAACAGCACAATTTAACACACATGTCCTGTTTAAAATATACTCACAGCTCTGGAAGTAACTGGAGATGAAACATGGATTACACTGATACTTCCCCCTCCATCCCCCCCCCCCTTTTTTTTTTTTCCTTTCCTTCTGACAGTAAGTCTTTGGTACATTTATTTTCATGCCTAACAGCCTCTGGAGGGGCAGAACCTCCTTCTGCAAGGAACGTATTGCAGCGGGTGCTGCATGCCAGCACACTGCAACCCCTGGCCAGGGCACACCGCTTCTTCCTGAGCCAGCAGATGCTGGAGGGGCCCTGCGTAAAACAAGATGTGCCAGTCACAACTGGAGCAGGTTGCTCTTCCTGCACCTCCTCAGCTGACACCACTGCCCCACCACCCCAAGATGGGTGAACCTAGTCTCGCAAATCGTTTCTATTCTCCAGGCCTCCACTGTCATCCCCGCAACTCCTTCACCTTCTGTGACCATCAATTTCGGTGCACAACTGCAGCGAGCAGAATATCGTGACGCGTGCCACGCGGAATCACAGAAAAGGTATATATCACTTCACTCCACTAGTGGTAACGCTATCCACCCAACTACTGGTTATATAAAATGCAAAAGATCTGGAAGAGCTCACCTTTCCTGCAGAACAAAACAGCACCTCTAAGCCTCTGAAGAGATCCCACAGTATTTGCTTACCAGTTATGTGGACTTGAAGAAGAAATTGAACATTTTACCCTCGGTTCGTTGTTTCATACAGTGAAACCATTAACCTTCCTCTTTCTCTGAATGCAGGAAAACCAGAAATACTGAGATTTTAAGGACAGTACAAAGATGCAACAGGAACAAAACTCAACGTATTTTAGATACAACGGGTACATGTGATTTCCCTACTGTCACTTACAAGGCATTTTATCCATATTGGTTATTCCTGCACTCTATAATGACATAAAGTACTTCCCTTATCTTTTCCATGCTCCCACATAATATAACAAATTTTCTCTTAACTAGGGTGTCAATAAAGAAGAAAAATTTTACATAAATTCACTCCTCTCCCAGAACCAAGACCAACAGAATGTTGAAAAGTGGTTACATTTGCATATTTTTTTCCACCCTCATGATCTGCTATCATCAAGCTGTTACTTCTTTTTTTTTTTTTTTAAAAAAAAAAGTTTTAATTTAGTCCACTTTGTTATCACAAAAGAGAAAACTGCATGTAGCTGATTTTTAGTATCCATGACAGTCAATTTACTTAGGTAACACCATCAGCAGACTACACAGATTAAGGGCACTTAGCCCTAATTTAAAATATAATTACAAACAAGTATACCATACCCTGCCTGTGATAAAAAATTTGACAGCAAGTGCTCAGTAAAGGGGACTAAATTAAGTTCTCTGTTAGGAACCTATGGCTCCTAAAACCCATCCTTAAAACAACCAATTTATTTATTTGTTTCAATTTCAATGGGAAAACCAACAAACTTTGCTGTAAAATCAGCAGGTAATCTACCTAATCAGATACTCACTTCTTCACCAAAATATGACTAGACCGAATATTAGTTACAGGCAGAAGCTTTTTTTTTAGTCCATAAACCGATTAAAAAAATAATCCTGAGCAAGGCTGATGCCTTATTGAACACCTTTTCTCCCCTATATCCAGCCCTGTCCCAGCAGTTTTCCCCTGCTTTTACTCTGCACACCCAAGACAGTGGTATTAGCTGCATAAAACAGGTGTTAATGGCATAGAAATAACCCTAATTTCTTATAAAAATTAATTTGGATCCAAATTATTTTGGCTATATAATGCCAACATGTAATAAAGACCTGTAACTATCCACTGTAAATAAAATCTTGTGCAAAGTATTTTATATTTCTCAAAAGCACTTCTTAATGAAAGTCTAACTACCTCATCTCTTCTCTCTCGAACACCCTTTACCCATCCCATGGGAACTTCCCCAGTTTTCACTAAGGCCTACAGGCCTCACGCTGCCACGATAGCACACATGCTGTCCACCAATAAAGGTGGTTGTAAAAGAACCAAAGCACATAATAATTTGATATTCCTTTCTTACTAATAACTATTATCTTATTATCCCCAGGAGAAGCAATGACAAGAAAAGTTTGTTTCTACTCTTGGTAGATAACGTATCGGATACCACTGTTAAGGGCGCAATTTATACAACCATGGTGTTTGACCTCACCATACAGACACTAAAAATAAGTAGGTGAATCGTTTTCAAAACACCTCACAAAAGTTTTAGGCAAGAAAGTTTAGGATTCCCATTTGTATTTCATTCCCTGCAGTCTCAGGCCCAAGTTTACGGCAGGCTGCTTGGGAAGCCAGCACTGAACAAGCAGAGAGGCATTAACCAACATTACTAGCAGAACAGAAGAGTTCTGTGACTTCCAAAACTTTGCCTTTCCTTCAAAGTAACAAATTATGAGATGCCAAGAGGAGGAGGGAGGAAGAAGGCATGCTTTTAGCGTTTTACGCTTATCAGACGCCCACTCGAAGGTTTCCCGTCGTGCTCAGATGCTGCCAGATGCGCCGGTTCGGGAGGGGAAACGCGACCTTCCCCTTCACCCCGGCCGCCGCGGGCTGGGCCCCCCCCCCCCCCAAGGTTGCACCCCCGGCCCCGGGACACCCCCCGGCCGGCGCCCCGCCGCCCCCTCCCCGCTCGCACAAAGGCCCGGGGCGGCCCCTCGGTCGCGGCCGGTACCTGCCAGTCTCCAGCGCTCGGGGTGCGCCAGGGCCAGCAGCCTCCGAGACTCGAAGCGCGGCGGCGGCGGCGGCGGCGGCGGCGGCGGCTCCGCGCCGGCGGCGGCGCGGAGGGAGCGCGAGGCGCTGAGGGAGCGCGAGGCGCTGCCCGCCGCCGCGGGCGGGAGGAGGAGGCGAAAGTGGCGAGAGCGCGGCGCGCCCGGCGGCAGCAGCTGCGGCGGCGGGGAAGAAGATGGGGAGGAGGAGGAGAGCGTCCCGCACCTGCCGGGCGGGCGCGGCGGGGCGCGGAGAGCGGCGGCCCGAGCCCAGGGGGGCGGCGCTGCCCGCCGCAGCAGCGGCAGCAGCCAGGGCAGGCGCGGCGCGTAGCCCGCCATGCGGCCGGCGCGGCGGAGCGGCTGCTGCTGCTGCTGCGGCTGCGGCTGCAGCCGGTCCCCGCCGCCCGGGGCTGCGGCAGGAGGAGGCGCCTCCGAGCCGCCGCCGCCGCCCATGGGCCGGCAGCCGGGAACCCGCGGCGGCCCGGGCCCGAGCCGGCCTGCGGCGCGCCGATAAGGCTGCGGTTGGTTGTCGGCCTCGTCCCGGCCACCGGGGCCGCGCCTCGACCCCCAGCCAGCGCCCTCTGCCGCCGCCCGGCCCCGGGAGGGGTCGGGGACGGGGCCTGCTGAAATGGCGCCCGAGCCTGCCCTGCCCGGTGCTGGCACGGTCCCACCAGGGAGGCGGCCGGGGGCTGAGGCTCCCGGCCCCCGGAGAAGGAATTGGGGGCTCTGCCCCTTTCCCCTCGTCCCCCCTCCCAGGCCTGCGTGGGTCACGCCAGGGGAGGCCATCCCGGGCTGGCCTGTGTCCACAGTGCGTCCTGCCTCTGGCCGGGGGGCTCGGTCTGGGTCTGGGCAAGAGAAAATCTCCAGCCAGAGGAGAGCTGCCTTTCAGCGCACCCTGCGCCCGACCCTCACTCGGGCCGGCGGCCGTGCCACCCGTAGGAACAGGCTTTACGTGCCCTTGCGCCAACCAGTCTACAGGATCCGTAGGAACAGCCCTTCATCATTACAATTTTCTTCACGTGGTACTGTGCAAGGGTACAAGACATCTTCCAAAGAGTCTGCTGCCCCTAACCTTAAGGAAAAGAAGCCGAGTCGCTGGGGATGCAGCTTTGCTGAGGCAGTGCAGTACTGGAAGCCAGAGTGAGGAACTGACCCCAGTGTCCTGTTTTCCCCCGCTGGGGAGCCTGGCATAGGAACACCTACGCTTTACTTTTAAAATTTTAAGTCAGGCTTCTTTGTGCATTACTTAACGTTGGCTTGCAAGGTTTGGTTTGCAAGAACGCCGTTTGAACAAGCACACTTTTAAGGTCTGCAAATAAGTACAATTGCATTAAAAAATCAGGAGAAAATGTGAACACAGTCTCTTTCTACCACAAACCATACAGCCAAATTCCCAGTATTTAGGGAAATCGAGGGGCTAGCGCACCCAGCGAGCATGCTGAGGGATGGAGCCACACCCTGGGAAAACCATCACCTCGCCAGAGCTGTTTTCCCTTGATATTTGGGTAAATTAGCGTGTCTTCCTCGCAGCCCTCAGGTGACCGACACGTTTTGAGACCCACGCTGACAGGGCAACCTCACCCGAGATGTCTGTTTTCCCTCCTTCCTCGTTCCCAGCCTCCTTGCCCTTTTACGATGCTAACCTCCGAGGCTGCGGGGAGGAACTGCATATTTAAGCGAAACCCGGTGATCGTTTTCTAGCGCTTGAGGTGCCCCACAGAACCGAAGTGGACAAAGCCCCTGGGCAGTGGAGCACCGAGCCGCCGGGTGAAGCACAGCGACACGCGTGCCACTGGGTGCCCGCGCCGTCGCTGACCCCACTTCACGCGAGGGCGGTGGGATCTCACCCCCGACCCGCCCCCACGGGCGACAGGGCAGAGGCTTCGCTTCTCATTAACGCTCTGCCCAGCGTGCCCGTTAATGGCGGGACGCCGCGCCCGCCCCTCAGCGCCCCGCACCGCGGCGGCCCGCCAGGGGGCCCGACCTCCGCCCGCCACGCCATTTTTCGCGCCGCTTCCACGCGTAGAACACCCGCGGGACTTTTCTGGCGCTTGGCGGCTTCCCACCCCCGCCTCCTCGCGCTGCCCTCGGAAGAGAGGCGCAACCAATCGATCCCTCGGGCGAGGAGCGAGACCGGCGGGCCGGGGCGGAGCTGCCGCCCCCCGCCCTGTGACGGGCCCTGCGGGAAAGGGGCCGCGGCCTCGCCCTGCGCGGAGCCGCCCCGTGGAGGGGAGGGGGAGAATCCTGACCTGAACTCCCCCCCGTCCCCAGTTTTAGGGCGGTTTCGATGTTTCTGGTTATTTCGCTCGCCGTTTGGAAAGGCAGCGCGGCAGGAAGGCCCGGTCAGCGCCCTTACCCGGCCTTGGCCCATCCAAGCCCTCGTTCCTTCAACAAAGGGGCTTTTTTGGACAAAAACGGTCCGTAAAAGGGGGAAAGACCCAATAAAACAGGATTTTTTTTTTTTTTAATAGGAGGAATGGTTATTTGAGCCTGCTGTGGCCTGTGAGGAGCCGCACGCCGTCACAGGCCGGGTGCCACGGTGCTCCCCGGGGCCCAGCACCGTTCCCTGCGGCTGTGGGGACATGCTGCCTCACCCACACCGGCCCCAGGCTGGCTGCCCCACATCTCCAGGGGCTGGGAATCAGCCAGGGTCTGGGGCGCAGACCTGAGAGCAAACCCCTGGCCTGGCTGTGATAGTGAGGGCCGGGGCTCTTGCCAAACCTGCCGCAGCCCGAACCCCCTTCTGCAGGGCACTGGAAGGTGCAGGGGGAAACCCAGGGTATATGCAGGGGAGGATGGGGGTGGAGTGGAGGCAGGTGCGAGCTCTGCAAGAAAGGCACGCACAGGAAAGTTTGCAGAGATGTGAGTTCATGTGAGTCTTCCAAGAAAAACTTAAGGTGCTGTGGGCTGTCCCACCCAGCCTATGCTGTCCACGGGTTATCTGACTGGGTGCATGAAAGCTGATGGGGTAACGTGGGTTAAACTGCAAATGATAAATTTATATTTAGTTATTGCACGATACTGAAATAGTTTTGTAGCCTGTTCTGCATCTGCAAGGTGAAACAATGGCACTGCAGCACACAAGTCTTTGCATTGAGTGAGCAGTACAAAAGCAACACAAGAGCATTGAAATCCCACAGTACGTGTTCTTTCACAGTCCCATTTGAAGGCAAATGAAGCATCTCCATCATGAAACAGCCTGACTGAAGCATGCGGTTCCCACTGCTGGGTGCACAGTGGGAGAGCACAGGCAGCTCAAGCAGTGAGGTGTGCGGGGCAGGGCTCTGGCATCCCTGCACCTAGATGTCACCGAGAAGCACAAGGTAATCTTTTGATAAAGTTTTGCAGGTAAGAAGCACCCCACGCTGGCAATAAAACAATCCATACAGACAGAAACTGTGCTTCAGGGAGGCAAGTTCTCTGCACTTGTGCGTTTCCTGCAGGTTGAAGGCTGTTGGAGAACACAGGATATTTTCTCCTGAGAGACTCTGGAGAAGTAATAAATAATTATGGATAAGTAATTAAAAAAAAATGAAAGAGAAAGCCCAGCATCCCCCTACCTTTTCCAGGGCAAGGAGATTTGGCTGGCAAGCAACTGAAGATCTGACTTCCAGTGATGGGAAGTTTAGATGCAGCAGGGCTTTATGTTCCAGTTTGGTTTAGGCTATGCTTGTGGGGAAAAAAATAGTGTACAAACCCAAAACAAGCCCCAAACTCACAGATGGTTAAGCAGTCATCCTAAGCAGTCATGAAATATTTGCACTAGTGGAGTGGAGTTGCCAGGAGGGAAGGGAGTGCCTAATAATTCTGGCTATTCTTTTCCAGTTTGTTTACCACATGCAGATTGCTCTGCTATTGCCTTAAGCAAAAATGGCAAAAGCAACAGCAGTCCAGCACATAAGTCTCCAGCTAAGCTGTTCACCAATACAAATAAAAATGAAGAAAAGCTGTGCAAATACGAAAAAATTAGCAAAAGCTGTGCAAACGTGCCTCCTTTCAACTCTAGCAATGGGTTGAAGTTGTGATGTGTTAATCTAAAATATTACAAAGTTGCATGTGGGCTCACAATGCCAGACCTCAGGATGCCTGAACTAACGGTCTGGGCTTGGCTGCTTTCTGGTGTTGAACTACACGCAGCTCCAGAAGGATTTGTGCTGCTTCTAAAGGGCAAATTGTCATTACATGAGTTTTGCAGTGCTTTTCTGGATGCCAGACAAATGGCCATCCTCCAGATGCGGTTGGCACTAGTTTGTCTGGGGTTGTCTTACAGCATGACCCCAGTTTATCTCTGCAGCAAGCACATGGCAGTTTCTGCACTTATTTGCACCGTCCTGTCCCTCCCCATGAACTACGAAACATCGCTAGCTATTGCAAAGCCAGCTCCAGGACTGGCCTAAGGCAGACATCAGAGCGGACAGGTACTATCACTGCTGTCCAGAGACCACAAAACTCCTTCTGGCAAGAGTGGTTTGTTATCTAGCAGCCATGTTCCTCTTCGTGTTCACCTACCTCTCCTCTATCCATCGCTTTTAGGAACTTCCTGAGACTCACATGCAACCCAGCCTTTGGATGTTTCAGCAGGAGCACTGCTGTGCCACTGAACAGAGCTGGGACACTCACTGCTGTCTAGGTACTCCATTTGCCTAAGTGTAAAAGAGAAAGTAGAGTCTGATCTGGCACCTTCCAAACTAGGGGTGGGGTGTTCAGGATATCTCCCAAATATCCCAAAGAATATCACAGGATCAAAGGCTTCTCTCAGATGGAAACGGGTAGTTCAGTATGCTACAGCCTACCTCTGTTAAGCAATTTTAAGCCACAGGAAAAATAAAAGAAACAAACCAAACCAAACCCCAGGCGTGATTGAGGAAATATTTACAGGCAATTTAGGAGCAAGAAAGACAGCTTAATTATCTCAACAAGCTGCCTGACCAGCACTGCTACCCTACCAAAGCTGCTGGAGTCAGTGGTGTTGCATGATGTGTAGCAGCGTGAACAGAAGCATCACTACTGGGTGGGGAAAGAAGTGATAGCACAGAAATAGAAGTGGACACCATCATGTTCCCAGTCTTGTGCCCTGGCACTCAGAGCTGCTGCGCCACCTCCCAGCCCCTTCTCTAGAGCTGGGGTAGCGATCCTGGCGCACCTCCTCCCACTGACAGTGGGGTAGAGGGATTCGGACGGGGTTTCTTTCTCCTCTCCTCAGGCAGTGTCAGAGCAGTGCTGCCCATGTGCTGATATGCTTGTACAGTACTGAACACCATGAAGTCCTGGTCTTAGCTGATCCCCAGGCTGTATATGCTGAAGTATTTTTGTTATCAGACTTGTCATAAACAGAGGATCATGACTCCACTGAAGATCACAAACCTGTGCAAAGAGAAGACAATTTTATCCTAAATGGAACTGCAAAGATCTGGACTCGATAGGAAAGCAGGGGTACCAATAAAGCCATATTCTGAAGAAGCCTTCTTCCTCATCTAACCCTCAGCTTAATGCAGCTGACCCCTTCTCCTGTTTGAAAACAGGATGCATGTTTTAGTTATAGAGTAACACCTGTGATATCAAGTTATAGAAATAGCTTCCACAGCTGCCTTGTTCAAGAATTTCAGTCCCAAGAGAATATTTCTGCAGGATGACAGACACAGCGTATAATGCTTTGTCTTAAACTGAGCACTTAGAACATACCACCTTCCCTGTACAACTGCTGCTCAGTGCTGTGGTATAGCAGTGTCCAAAAAACAGAAAGCCAGATGCATGTTTAAAATCGTTGAAAAAAGATTACCAGTCCAGGGACAAATTTTACCAGTATTTTATACTTGAAATACATTGAGCGTGGGAGGCATTGTTGAGTTATTTCAGTCAGTTTGGGCTCCTATCCAGTACTTTAAAAAAAAACCCCATAGCCAACGTGCAGCATGACAGGATAGTCTTTGGCAAGGGACATCCAGGCAGTTAATTTAACTGTCACATCAGTGTCTTGTAATGGTACAGTTTTAGAGCCTGGCTCACCGTGAGCAACTAGACACCACTCAGAAGGAAGGCCATTTCAGGATTTTGTTGAAGAACCCACTGAGCCTGGAGGACTAACAAAGTCAGCAACAGTTGAAACAAGGTTAGCAAAATGGCCTGAAGTTCTTTTTGTTTTTCTTGGCAAACCCAAAGGATCTGTTAATGGAAATATAATTTCTGTAAAATGTTTTTAGACTTAAAAGGCACTTGTAAGAGACAGCTTGTCCACAAAGGAACCAGAATGGGGAAGAATAGGATGAACTTCACCTTTTAGGAAGCTAAGATGTTTAGACTAAACAGTGTGGCAGCACGCTGCTCAGGGGATGCCAGTGTTAAAAGTGGGAAGGGTAACTTTAACATAGACCTGTGAACGGGTGTAGCAGTTTGTTTATTAGAGCAAATAGCCTTTCCTTTCATAAGTATTCAGTGACTAAGCAAGGACTTGGACCTCAGCTCTGTCTATATTTACCTGACACCTTTTGAAAGGGTGTTTTGCTGTTCATTGCCTTTATCAATTCAAGAGGTTAGGGAACAGAAGAAAATTGTCAGATAACAGATGTCAAAAACGAGGAAATACTTTTCCCTCCCTCATAAAAATCAGGGTGTAGAACTTTTTGCTGCAGCAAACTGTGGAAGCTACAAGTATGGAGCTGATTAATAAAAGGGATGAGACAAAATGAATGGAAACGAAATTCATCAGTGGCTATTGCAGATATATAGCCTGCAGCTCTGGAGGCCTACTTAAAAAAAAAAAAAAACCCAAACCCAACAAATCCAAAAAAACACAACAAAACCAACAAACAGTAACTATGAGAAGATAGGAGTGTGTAAACCATGGCAGGATTGCGGTCTCTATGCCCTCTTTCTCCGAGCATCTCCTGTTAGCCACTGGCTGGTTAGCCACATGGCCAGTGCAGTGCCAGTGCACTGTGCGTCATCCAGGAGCCATGTGAAGGGAGCAGAGCTTTGCAGGGGAGGGAGTACCCCATTACATGGCTGAGAACTGCATTACAGACAGACTCAGAAGCTGCAACAGTCCTTGCTATGATGCCTGTTAATATTTGAGTGCTTAAGTATGTCAACTTAAATGCTTTTGTGTTTTTTTATGATATATATTTAAAATAGAATAAGGACGGGGTCTGTGCAAATGTAGACTTATTTCTGAGCTACACAGTTAATAGAGATTGTGGTCTAAATTTTGCTAGACTTAATGATATTCCTTCTTCCCACTCATACTTTCCTCCCAGTTCTGACTTGAAATTCAGTCTGTCAATCAATTGCAGACATTTCTTATAGTCTAGATTATTTCCTGGCTTCCTGCCTTCCAACATTTACATTCCATGAGCATCAAAAACTGTCCACACAGTACATAAAAGTTTATAGATTTGATTTGCATCATTAGTGATACTGTTTTTCCAGCACCTCAGAAATCACTTTTACATCTTTTAACCTATGTACATATAGAAGGATTTGCTTCCTAAATCTCTTTACTCTCACTTGTCACTTTTGTATGCAAAATACTTCAGAATAACCGAACTAATAAAAAGCCCAAATCCACTGTAGAAGAAAGATGTTAAAAGGAAACTGTTCTCTGCCTATCTCACCTTTATTTTTTTTTTCCCCCCCTTTTGGTTGCTGTTTGATCTACTTCAGGTCCAAAATTCCAGCTGCTCTCTAAACACTGCTCAGGATATATGGCAACAAACAGCAAATGAGTTCCAGTGAACACTGGTGAGCCATATCCTTCCTTGGTATTCACACAGGTATTCAGCCAAGCACTTCAATACTTTGCTATGGCACAAGAGCAGTCATTTCACAATTAAATCTTTGTGCTAGAATCTACAGAATTGGGCAAAAACACTCAAAACAATCACAGAGATTACTGCAGGTTGAAGAATGCAATGCGTTTAGTCTGGTGAGCAGTATCAGCTCCATATATCTGAAGAAGGTGCTCTCTCTAGAGACTTGTGCAGCACAAAGCATCAGCAATACAGCCATCTCCCATACTTTTTTTTTTTCAAAATGCCTGATTTTGGTCTGAGATTGTTGAGCTGCTTCACACTCCCGATATACACCCATCAGAAGATTAGCATTGCCATATTCGCAGAGCTGAGCCGCAGCACACACTGTTAACTCATCTCAGAAAGTTCAAATGTTTTTCTGATAAAAGCTTTCGGTCATTTACCAACCTAGGCAGACAAAAAGCAAAACAAAAGACAATTGTGATCTGTCATCTAAACTTAGACTGTTTGGATGTTCTCAAGAGAATTCTCTCATGAAAAGTCCAGGAGGCCTGAGGGAAGCTGAAGGGAATTATCACTTCATGCCAACAGCCTGTCTAGAAGATATTAGATTGTGCCTTTGCTCGAAAGAGGCATTTTAAAACATCAAACCATGAAGCCAAGGTCATGCAGTGCTACAGAATGAGGTCTTCTGGTACACAGTGTCAACCTCAAGGGGTGCCTAGATCCTCCATGTGCCTTTCAGCCGACCTACAAAGCCATGTCAATACCCTAAGTCCATGACCTGCCAAGTCAGCTCCGTGGAAAGCAAGTAGGAGGGTATCAAAACAGCATGCAACAAGTGAGTGGGACCACCAGATTCAGCCTCCGAGTGCCAAGCGGGCTCTGGCTCAAGCAGCGCAGGAGAAGCACGCTCCTGCCCTCTCCTTCCCATGCAAGTCAGACCAAGTTTCCCAGAAAGGAACCAAGCATTTTTTTTTTTTTTTAAACTAAATGCTTTTAATAGAAAACAAAATACAAAATAACTCTTTCCAGAAAGCAGAAATATTTAATCTCTCCAAATGACAAACTAGAACGTGCTTTTTCCACAGACCCTTGTTGTAAATGCTGATGATTTATCTCACAAAGTGTTCACGAAACTGATATTGCAACGTTTTGAGAAAATTCCAACACTGGCAGAGCTGTCTCTGTGTACACACAATAATTTAGTAATACTATTCTTTCTCATGTCACTTTGTGTGTCTGTCTCTCCCTGTCCCCCCTCCCCTAGACTGCCAACTTCCATTTACGGAAATATTTCTGTGAGGTGCAGTGGTGGACCGACATGCCTCGCTTCCATTAGGAGTCCAAACTTAGCTGCTTCAGTTCTATTGTGCCCTCCCTCCAGACAAGGCAAGTCATTTATTACCCTTAAAGCCACCGCTCTACCCTCACTGTCCTCCCATCCTCAAAACACAGTGCAACCAGATTCAGAAAGATTCCTAATTAATGGAACATAAATACAAGTATCACAGCTAGTACCAGGAACCAAACCCAAGTGACAATGCAGAGATGGGCCCCAACTGAGGTCAGACTTCCACCCCCTTACTAAAAGGAAAGATGGTATTTTCTACTTAGCTAGTTCAAAATATTCCAGAAGTGCTATAAGGGAGCTGTAATATTTAGGACCCCTATCACTGTAGAAAATACATGAGGTTCTCTCAATAGAAGGGTCTTAAAAATGCTGGTCCTCTTCAATACCAAGAAAACAAAAGCAAAACAAAACAAAAAACACTGGGCCAGTAGTCCTCCACACACTCAAGCCTCAGTTAACAGTAGGTAAGATGTGCCCATCAATCAATGCAGGATATTTAAGTGCAGGTCAGCAGCTTATCTGGTTGGCAGTTTCACTTGTCTGGACCAGGCTTTTGGTTTCCCCAAGCTACCGGATTTACTCCCCTTTTCCCCATCCCTACAAGTACAAGATTAGAATGTATACATATTTTCAACACTCTTCCCTTTCTCCTTATTCTGTTCAACAGTACAGGCCTTTTTGTGGGCAAGACATTTTAAAGCATTTGCATCACTCTGAACATGCCTCTCAAGGGGGCAGAGGAAGAGAAGTGTTTCACAGTCAGTAATCTCAGCTTGCAATGGACTCTGGCATTCAATACACCCACCCACTTCCCTAAGATAAAAAAAAAAAAAAAAAAAAAAAAAAAAAGAAATTAATGTTCCTGATTTTCTTGTGCAATTCCAGTCACTAGAAGAAGATTACAGGCCATAAACTGTACGCTCAGTACATTATTCATTTGTCCGGTATATACACCAACCAGTTCACTGGAAGACCCATCCGCAGGGGCGTTGCAGTAAGTGTTCCGAATGTCCCAGACCCGGACTGAATTGTCCATCGACGCTGAAGCAATTAAACTACTGTCAGGGCTAAAAGTAAGGCTGGTTACGTTGTCCGTGTGCCCCCTCAGTTCTTTGTAAAGAGTTCCTGATGCCAAGTCCCACAGCTTTAGCCGCTGGTCTTCACCTGCTGATGCCAGGTACTTACCATTGGGAGAAAATGCAAGCGCTAGCACGGGGCCACGGTGCCCGGTGAAAAGACGCACCGAGTTGCCTTGCTGCGTGCTCCACAAGCGCACCGTTTTGTCTGTAGAGCCCGTCGCTAAGTAGTTGGAATTGGGGTGGAACTTGACGCAGTCTACGTCCGCCAAATGGCCTGCGTATATTCGCAGCGGGTACGTCCGATCGAATGACCAGAGCCTTGCAGTGCGATCGTGGGAACCACTGGCAAAGTACAGGCTGCAGGGGCTAATATCCAAATCCCAGACAGGATAGGCATGACCTTGGTACAACACAGTGTTTGTAAAACTTCCGAGGTCCCAGTATCTGATGGACATGTCCTCAGAACAAGATAAGAGTCCCGAACTGTCTGAAAGAAACCTCGTGCTGTACACAGGTCCACAGTGTCCTCTCAGAATCTTCATTTCTGTGCCTGCGCTGTCGTCCTCTTCCTCCTGGCCAGGGAGGAGAAAAAGAAACAAGAAAAGAAAGCATGTTTATCTGTTCAACAAATAAATACAGGAACCACCGAGAGGAAAACAGGTGAGCATTAATACAGAAGTTATTTTAGAGGTGGTGCATTTTGTCCAACTCTGAGACATCAACATCGCTAGCACATTTGTTACCTTGAAGTTAACGCTGAAAGAGATGGTGAGGTAAGACTTTATTTGAAGGTTTTATCTTCATTTTAGGTAGCCTCATGCTCACTCCAGAAGGCACCCTAACCTGGGACTTTATGTAAATTGGGGGGGGGGGAGAAAAGAAATATTTCACATAACAATTTTTCACTTACTAAAAGCATATGCTTATTCCCTATCCGCTCCCTACTAAACTTTTGACTAAGATGTTGAAACAGATCTTGGCATCTGCTCTTTTGGTGTGGTCATTATTGGGAGAGAATCTCACAGTAGAGAAAAAGAAACACAGATGTCTTAAACAAAAGGCAGGAGATGGAAAGAGAGAGTGTATTTGACAAGCTGTCTGCTGGACATTCTTAGCCCCACACGTGAACAGAAACCCAGTAAGGCCGTAATAACTATTTCCGCATGCAAGCTCCATCAGGATGCTTTCACATCCTCACCCTTCGAGAACAGTAAATGCATGCAGCTTATCTAGGTCAAAGGATCTATTCTGGGGTAGATGATGATGAATAATCACAAAAAGGATGGCACTGGAAACCTTTTTAACCTGCAGTTCTCCAATTCAATTACCAGGGCAGATAGTCAACAAGTAAAGGCTTTCACATTTGAAGACTGTTTGGTGAGCTGTGCTGAAGGAATCTCCCAATGGAGGGTAAGAGTCTCCGAAAGTCTATTCAAGTAGAACCTCTCGACACTCAAAGGCTACAGACCGCACAAGTTTCCACAAATCTCAGCTCAAGGGAGTGTCCTTTCCTGACAAGCTGGGGTCTGACTGACAGAGGGCAAGATAACCATGGCTGGGGGTGTGCCTGTGGAGTAGCTGGAGACCACCCTCCCTCAGGGCTGTCCGGCAGACACCCTTCCTCGGTAGTGAACCAGCAGCACTCATCCACGGACAATCTCTGCGCATCGAATCCAACACGAGGCCGTTTTGTTCGTGAGCAGCCCCTTTAACTTTTATCACTGCAAACTGGGCTGTTTCCTGCAGAAGGAGCACTTCCTGCCCCGGGAGGAAACCCAATTCCCCAGGGCTGCCGGCGACCAGCAGAAGTCAGTGCGTCCCGAGGAGTGGCTCTCTTGGCTGACACGGCATCTCCCATCCCTCTGACCTCAGGACCCACAGACAGTTTTCCTTCAGACTTAGCAATAGCCCTAAAAGCCCTTCTCCTCCAGTGGTTTCAAATCTTACATCAGAGGTGAGCAAATTCTGACTTCGATAGCTCGCTGCCTTTCTCCATCTCAACTGCATTTAGTAGTAGGCAGCAAGCTGTGTTTAGCAATGCTAATTCCCTTCAGAGTAGTCAGTGCCCATGGGAGTTTTATGATGTGGCTGGGAGCCAACATCATCTCTACTACAGAGGTGAGGCAGAGAGAAATTGCAGGCTCTAGCACGCACAGCCCCATTCTTATTCAAATTGCTTTTTCTACCTCAGATAGAGCATGGCTTGCTGGAATCCACAGCATCTCTAGGCTATGTTACCACATTAAAGGAGAGAGGCTGATACTTGCAGCATTTTATACTATTTAATTATAACCATAAGATTCCTGACAAGTTACCAGTGAAAGCCCATTTGAGTTACCTATATTTGTACTATAGTTTCTGTAAATTCTGCAAGTCCAGGTACTTAATTTTATGCCTTCAAATTCATACAAGGCTACCTGGATTGTCTGCAAGCACATACTCTTCCTCTCTTACAAGCACTTACCCTTCTTTTCTTGTATTACAGTAGCAACTTATTTGACAAAGCCTTCTACAGCATTCAAAACCACACTCCTATATGGTCACAGGTAGGAAATCTTATCTTTGACTTCTGTTTGACACACACTTAGCATAACAACTGCACACTGCTGTTATAGCTTGGTGAAAATGGTATACCTACAATGCTTCTGAGTCACTAAATTTTTCCATTTCCTCTCTATCCAAGTCTGCTGACCAGATTAACAAAGCAGCTGCAAGTGCAGCCACTAAATTACTGCCTTGCAGAACTAAGCTTCACTTCTTTGTCAGATCAAGCATGCTCTTCATCGCATCCCACAGCTACTACCATGTAGGTGAGCACTTGCAGCAGCTATAGAAAGGTTGCCACCTGTGTTATAAATCAGCAGGGAGGCAAGGAATCCACCTTCATAATATTTTTTCAGGATTCTAGTTTCACACATTGAATATATTTTCTGGATATAACATACCACTGGACACTACACAGATATCCATTAGCTCCTTCTGAAGTGGCTGCTGCAGGTTAGCATGAATGATTTGTATTTCCTTGGAATGGACAATAATTTAAGTTATATAAGCCTAATTTAATCAATAACCTACACTCACACACACTAAAAGCTACCTTTTATTATTTGAGCTATCAATTTTGAAAAGAAAAACTATCAAAACTGATTTTAAGTAATAAAATAGAAGTGTAAAACCTACCAACACTACTAAAATGAGCTAAAAAAAGTTACATTTACTCTTCAACAATGAACAGGAAATCTTCTTGAGCAAGTACAAGTCTCCCCAAAATTATATAATTAAGAAACTGAAAAGAACAACAATGTTTGCGTGTTTTGTTATACAGGATACCTTCCAAGTGATATACCTATGGACAGACTGCCCAACTCCTCAGCTATTACTCACATCAGTAATGGATTTTGCATGACAGATCATTTGGATCCAGAAAAATTTACTGCCGATGTATTTAACCTTATGAGCAGCAAACATTATCTAGCTGACAAAAATTATCTTGATCTTTCACCCAGTACAAGCCTCAAGGGAATGAGTAAGTCTCAAAGAGCAACAATAACCTCAAAAAAACCTAAACAAAAATCCATCTCACCCCTCCCTGCCTATTTTTTTTTTTCCTAACTAGTAACAGGTTTCTCTGGGGTGTTGTCATCTCTCATCTGGCAGTGCTCTTAGTATGTCAGAAGGGAAGCTCTACCTGCCTACTGTAGGTCTCCTAGCAGGGAAAGATGAGGGAGTAGATGCAGGACATTTCTTACTGCTCCTTCCAGAACTCCCTCCCAACTGCAATCCACCAAGGGGTCAGCATCATCCCCACTCATTACCACTTGAAGGACCACTGCCACTTGAAGGCAGAACCTTAGAAGCAGACCTGAATGAGGTCAAGTCTTAGTCTTTACAGAATTTAAAGGCTGCCACTCTGGCGGCTGGGAACAGAGTATTATTTTCTGTTGTTGATTTATGCAGTACCAATGATGAGCATGGCAAAATTGCAAAGCGACAAACAATACATCCATTTGCACAGCTGCAAAACTGTGTTCTTATACTGGACATTAAGTAAGGGAGACTATAAAGTGGCATTTGTGAGATGCTACTATAAAGAAAACAGAATTACTTTATCCCAAAATAGTAAGCCTCTCCTATTTCCAAGCAGCAAGATAACACTGGGGAAGTGCACTTGGGCATCACACTGAGCAAAATTCACTAAAACTACACCTAGTAGACGATTTTGACCTTAGTGACACAAAGGCTTTAAACAGACTAGGAAAAAAGTCATTCCCCAACACTTCTGCTAAGTCTCAACCTCATTTATATATATATACACACAAAGAGTTAATAAACCCAATAGTGTAGTTTTAGTGCCACCCTGAACAAGATCCACTGAAACTAGTGCAGTTTTAGACTTCTGTATCTTCATAAACAGAAGGACCGATATCCTTGCAGTAAATCAGGAACCAAGCTGAAGATGAATTATTTCAGGCACTACTATTTAAAAACAGTACCCAAAGCTAATTACACAATACAGAAATCGCCCAAGCCAAACAAAATTTAGAAACCTTACAAAACCCAGCCAAGTTTAACAGCCTCACAGGTTATTCTCACTGAAGTAATGTCTGAATTTTTGTTCTTTGTCAAAGTTTTAATCAGATTTACCACTGTGAATTGTTGCTGATCAGACTGCAGTGACAGTTTGAAGCACAGCCCCTGCTCACACCACGCTGCGTTACTGATGACTGCAGTCCAGTCAGGGTGGTCTTGTTTGGTCTGTCTCACTATATGTGCCTTCCACTCTTGTGATACCCAAGTGGGTGCTGGTCTGTTCCCACCTGCAACCCCATGGGTGCCTGTGTATTTTCACTTAGGGCTCCCAGACACTGGAATTTATTTTCTTTGTAGTCAATAGGCTTTAATTTGCATTTGAGACATGTAACCAGCAGTGCGTTCAGGGCGGTATCCTCCCTTAACTTTGAACTCCTGATCAGGTCACTATTTGTTCTGTCAGTGGTAGAAGTTATTCAGGGCAATGATGACTTCGATCTGTGCTGGTCTTTGACCTGATGTTGGTTTTAGACCTGTGCACAAATGCTGCAGAATACACAAAATATTAAACAGCCAACAAGAGCCATTTGTACTCAAGCTCCCATGGCTGTTTTGTAATACATGTACGATACACAAGTATGTGCATACATGCCAAAAAAAAGCTAATACACACTCCTGATAACCTGGCAATATCTTACTTTCCTATAGTCTGGAGCCAAAGGAGGTGACCTCCTGATTTACCAGAGAAATTCTCCTCTGTTGCAGCTTATTGACATGTGGTTTCCACAACAGGCAGTACAGTCACATGTCATATGAACTCTTGCAGCTTCTAATGAAAACAAGTCCATAGCTCCATCTTGGGGTAGTCTGACCCACTTACCTGCTCACTCTGCAGAAAGGGTTAACCTGGGAAGCAGTGAGCATGCTTCTGTGCTATCTCACCTGGATGTCTGCCTCTAGTTCTCAAGCTGATGAACAAAGCAATCCCTAACCATATATCTCTTCATACAGCAAGGTTTCTGCACTCTTCCAAAATAAACAGAACCCTGACACTAGGTATTTTTATGAGAAGAAAAACCATTGGAAAAAAGGATGTTTCTCCTGCTAAATGCTCAACACAATAACAAATGAGGTTCGTTTTTTTTTTTCCCCCCTTCAAGAAGGGAGTGATTAAACAAAGGAAGAGTCACAAATTCTGATCTCTAACCAGATAAAAGATGCTACGTGGGCAGTGGGCAGCTGTATCAAGAGGGGAGGAAGGGCGTAACTAGAAGGCAATAAAAAAAAAAAAAAAAAAAGAGTAAACTAGAAGATGCTATCTGGCCTGGCATGTAAAGGCACACACCCCCCTGTCCTTGTCTCCAGCACTCCAGAGCGGAAAGCCTCTGAAGTTTCTACACTGCAGATTCCTTAACAGAGGCATTTTGCATAATTTTTCCATGCTAATTCTTCATCTCTGGTTAAGGTGATTCCTGAAATACAGTTTTGCACCTAGGCAGCCCTCCTTTCTCCTGAGGCCCCAGACCAGACTCCTTTGGCTCCTTCCTTACTTTGTCATTATTTTCCTCTTCCTGCATCTCTTCTGCCTGGTTGTTCTGAGGTGCTTTCCTTCTTGTTTTCATTCACCAGTGTCTTTACTGCCAGCATCTCCTCGTTTCATCTTCCCTTCCACAAGAAGGCTCCATGCTCCTCAGGGAAGGGAGCCTCCTCTAGTCACCTGTCCTTACTGGGCCGCCTGCGTACTGTCATCTGTTCAAGGACAGCTGGAGGAGGGATATCAGCACCTAAGATTAACAAACTATGACCCGAGCACACACTCTTTGCACCTCAGTGCAGCATTTACAGCCACTGCAGGAAAGAAAGATGAGAGCGGGCTGTAAGATTTGTGTGTCTAGGCAGACAGGTTACGGAACAGCCTCACAGTCCCCTAAGACATTACTAGGTACTCCACACTGCACACCCAAAATACCTTGGCAGAAAGAGTGGGGGGGGGGGAGGGAAAAAAAGGGGTATCCAGACCTCCTCATCCAGGATGTCACAAGCCAGACGGATGCGGGACACATCAACGAGGTGGGGCTCAGATTTTAACTTCCTGGAACGCAGGCTCCACAGCTTCACACATGAATTATCGAACCCAGCAGCAAGCAGCTTGCTATTTGGTGAGATCTCTGCAGTGTTCAGCAGCTGCTCCGTGTTATAGAAGGCATAGAAGCAGATGGTTGTTAAGGAAGGTGGCCCGTCCTTGACACGTTTAATGCTGTCCTGCAGTAAATCCAGCGCCGCCTCGTTCTGCAGAATGGAAGCTGGCACGTCGCTGGGTTCCAGGCCGTTGCTCTCGTTGCGCGAGGAGCTCCCACCGGCGTAGAGCTGGTAGTCAGTCCTCTTGGCAGGCTGCACATCCAGGTGAATGTGCAGGGTCAGGACTTTGCACAGGGCGTTGTTGTTGTCACTTTGGAGGTAGCGAAGAAGGTAGTTGTAGCTGTCCTCTTGAAGGCGGATGACGTACTTGTTGTCCAGAAAAGCCCGGAGCTTCAAGTTGGACAGGATATCTTGAATAGTCATGGTAGTCTGCAACTGCTCAATGATATCCTTCTGGCTGGCATTCTGCAAGAACATGCCATGGAAGCGGCTGTAAAAACTGTCCACTGTGCTTTTTAGGCCATTCTGGACCATGTTCAGATGGAGGTAGACGAAGAGGGGATACAGAAGAGGCATCACTTCATGGCTGTGCTGAGAATCTGAATCTATATAAAAAAACAGCAACAAACTTTGAATGATTTCTCAATCCCCTTTCTACTGAGAATAAAACAGAGCAAGGACAATTACTGTAAAAAAGCCTTGACAGTGGCATCAGAAAGCAAGCAAGAGGAGACTTTTGTTGGCGCATTTAAGTGAATCTCATGTCATCTAAAGGGGATACACAGCACCTATTACAAACCTGAACAGAGATTTTCAAGTTGGTGAGGTACCCTATCAGAACAAAATGCAGACTTCAAAACCCTTTTTAGGTATGGGCCAGCTATTAAAACACCACCTCATCAAATACACGATGGCTGAATTTTTCCTGTTTATTTAATAAGAAAAACTGTGTCCTCTGTTTATTGCAATAAATGGACTTTAACATTTACTTATTATTTTTAAAATAGTATTTAGCATGTTTAAGTCAAAAGTCTTTACCTAGCTTGGGTGTGCCTGAACTTCGGTGGCTTTTTTCTCCCCCTCTCAGCTTCAATAAAAATTGCATGTGGTGCTCTGAATGGAACTGATTTGTCTCCAAGGGAAAGGAAGCTACAGTTTCCAAAATGTACTGCAATATGCTGTGCTCTTGTTTTATTTCTGTGCGTGCTCATGTGCATGCTCTGTCTCTCTGTGTCTCTCTCTCTCTCTGTCTCCTCCCCTCTTCTCACCCTGCCAAGGCAAATCCCAGCAGTAATTCATAGTACACAGTGTAACAAACTCCCGATTAGGCTGTGCTGTACCTTGCAGAGACTAATCTGTGCAACAGCTCCACCCCTCCTTCACCCGCTTTTTGGGGCGGCAGGGAGCTGCAGGGAGCCAGCCCTGCCGCAGGGCACCGCGGCAACACACAGGGCCACAACAGCTGCTGGAGGACCAAAATGGTCCGAATTACTGGAGTGAAATAGGCATTGCTGATCCTCAAACTGCACTGCTGGTCTTCAAACAGCATTACTTCTTTTCTGCTTGTTCTTGCCTCCTGCCACTCACCAATGCATATTCTTTTTTTTCCCCTTTCCATTAGCTTATTTTTTCTCTCCTGTTGAGCACTCTTCCAGACTTTCTCTGCTCCATAATGTGCCTCTCTCCCACTTCTATATGTGTAACTACAGAATGTGTGTGGTATGCAGTATCTACATATGTATTTACATACTTAGGTATCATTCTCCTTTCTGTCCCACTAAAACTGGGCCAAAACCAGTGAAACCAGTGGTATGTAGTGAAAGCTCTAAGCAGCCAGCAGCTGCTCTTTTCTCTGCAGGTGCTCTAGTGCAGAAATGCAACAAGGGGAAGGACCTCACTCTGCAGTGGGGGAAAAAGGGAAGAGATGGATTGTTGGCAGAAACAAGAACGAAGAAAATGTTCCCCGAGAACATATGGAGAAAGGTTACAGGAGCTGGGTCTGTCTAGCCTGGAGAAGAATAAGGGTATGCCTTCAGTGCCCAGTGGGACGCTATAGAGGAAAAGGAGCCAGGCTCTTCTCAGAGGTGCTCAGTGAAAGGACAAGCAGCAAGCCGTTGCAAGGGAAATTCTCACCAAATCGCTCAGCCCTCCAGCTGAGGCCCAGAAGTGCAGAGCAATCTCCACACTTTCTGATTTTGAGAACCTGGCTGGACAAGGCCCCGAGCAACCTGATCAAACTCTTGATCTTCCCCTGCTTTGAGCACCTGGTTGAACTAGAGATCTCTAGAGTAATTCCTGAATTATTCAGTGCTCCTAGTCCCCTGCCCACTTCTCTGTGCCCCTGGGGGCAGGCATCCCAGATGTGGGAAGTGTCCTGCTGTGCCTGGTGGCTGGCTGGCAAGTTACTCCCTTGCAAAAACAGCAGCAATTCACGTGTGTAAGAAATCAAAACCCAGCAAGAGGGACAAAAAAAAATGAAAGCAGTTGACCCGAACACCAAAACCATGCCTAGCACTTCTCCAAGTGATATTTAAGCCACTGAACAGGGAAATCATACTTCCCCAAAATCTATTAAACCATAAGGATTTACCTCCATTACTAAAGTGCAGTGGTGCTGAACTGTTCTAGGTGGCAAGGCTGACTTCAGTATTTTCTGCTTCTGCCTGCCTTCCTCCTTCCCTTTCCCTTCAACAACTATAAGGAATATTAATGCTAGTGTTATGCACACTGGGATCAAATCCCTACAGTCAACAAATGAAGATGTGCCCAAAGGTGGGAGGACTGGCAACCTCACTTTCCTTGGTACTATTCTCTAAAAATCCTATCTGCTTTCTTCTTCCCACATTTGGGACTTGTAGAAGAAATAAGGACATTCCCATGAGTACTGTTGTTTTGTTTTGTTTTTTTTAATTATTAAAAAAATATATAAGAAAAATCACTATTGTCTTCTGCATCATACTACAGAATGAGAACTTTTTTTAGCTTCTGTCACATACCTCCACTCTCAAAGCAAGTACAGATAAATTTAAGGGAGGAGATTCTCCCTTAAAAATCTAGATCATAAAAATAAGCCAATTATGAATAAAATTAAAACCCCTAAACTAGGAGACAGCAGAGAACTACACTCATTTCTAAATTACCTGCCTTTCACATAAAACACTCCAATACTCTAATCTTCCTTCTGGCCCTGTATATGTATGTTTTCTAGAAGATCTACAGAGGCCAAATGCTTGAACAAGAAAAGGTAAACAGCTATCTACAAAAGCCGAAGGTACTTGACACTCAGACAAAAACAGCAACAAAAATATATCTAATTGCGGTAACTGAAATCTCAAAACTAGACATCAAAAGATTGTTAGAGACATGATTTTAAATTTTAGCATATTGTCCTTTACTCACTGAAATGACAAAAAAAAAAAAAAAATCGGCTACTTTCTTCTTTCTTGCTTCTAGATATTTACCTGTGAGAAAATTGCGTAATCGTCCAAATTGTACTTCATATTGCTGTGGCTCTGCCAGACAGGGAGCTGCAGATACAACGTTGGCACAACCAGATTCAGATTGGACTGTGAAATAAAATAAGTAAAAATTAAATAGGAATTTAAGGAGTTTTGCATGTGTGTCTGGAAACAAAGCTTCTTATAAACTCCAAGGTAATGCAGGCAACCAAGATGAAATTTCATCTTCCAAACCATCCAGGGATGACATAGTCTGATGTATCTAAACATGAGATTAACAACCTAGACAGATCATGAATAAGACAGTATACTGAAAACTTTACTTTTTTTTTTAAAAAAAAAGCCCTAAAAATCTCAGCAACTTACCCACTCCCCCCAGAATACTTTTTTAGGTTTTCAGATACAACCTTAAGTTCCCAAGAAATTCAGACTAACACCATCACAGATCCCTTAACAGTTGTACAAGATACTCCGTGGTTTTACTAATTTGTACTCAGAAAAGACAAGGAAAGCAATCTACAACTTTCTCCAAAACAGGTTCTTTTTCAGTGGGACCCACCAACCGTTGCGGACAGAAGAAGGTCTGCAGTGACACTATCTCAGAGTCTCAAATTCCTTGCACCAGTCATCACTGTTTACAACAAATGATAATCATTATCATTTACTAGTCTCCTGGAGGTGGTGGTGAAAACACATCCAATCTCTAAGCAAACACCTAGTAGTTTTTAACCAAAATGTGTCCTCCTCCCTGAGGATTTTAGGTTAAAGGGCAGCTGGTATCTGACCACAAATCCAGTTGTTATGGTCTCCTGAGATGGTGTTAAACTGATTTTCAGAACCAGTACCAACTCTGGTAAAAGTGGTTCTGAACTGTTTAGAAAGGGAATTGGCTGCTTCTCTGGCACCAAACCTTTGCTCTTCTGCTAATCTCTCAGAATCCAACAGAGGACTTTGTGCAAGTTTACAGACACCCAACAACATATCTGAAGCATATACAAATACCAGTGATTAGAAACACAAGTTACAAAATTAAAACTAATATGTTTATTTGTCTGCTCTTCTAAGAGCACTAAAGGACATGGAGTTTCACTCTTTTCCTTTCCTAATTTTTTTTTTTTTTCAATTTGTAACTATTTTCCCCTCCACAAAACCTATCTTCACTACTCTCACTTCCAACTCCCTCAACCTGTTTCAGTCTCCCCCACCCCCCACCGCTTTCCATCCTCTCTCTTTCCCTTCCTACTCCTGATGGATCGCTTTTTGTTCCAGCATTTGGCTCATGCACAGAGGCACAACTCTGAGAGCCCTCAGAGTGTATAAACAACATCATCAAATGTTCACATGCTAAAGAGAGATAGGCCAGCCTCCAGCTCGTCTCAATGCTTCTAATTAGAAAGAGATCAGCACACGGTGTACAGGCAGCCTGTCGCTATTCTCCTCTCTCTCTCTAGTAAGACACAGAGCTATCTTCCTGGAGCTTATGGAAATACAGCAGGTCTGTTTACCAACTCTCCAGGGCAAGCTGAATTCACCTTTGGAAACAGAGAGCTGGGCTGTGCTCATCATCCCCCCATGGGAAAAAACAAATACAGATTCCAGCACCAATACCCTATCTTCTATCAAATCAGTTTAGAAATAAACAAATATAACCTGTTGAAAGGTACAGATACACTGCACTTTCTACAGCCTGGCTGCTTCAGAAACTTAAAGCTGGTAAAAACTCCAGGCTCCCATACTGGCATTACTTAATGGCTGAAGTAAAAAACTCTGCTATTTCGACTTAAAATTTAATATAATCAATATTCAATATGAGAAAAAGTAAACTACGTGTATACACACATATTAACTCAGAAATGTTTAATGACAGTTTTCAGTGTCACCCATACTACTCATTGTAAAAGCAAAGAGAAAGAGAAGTAGGAGGGCCTGTCTTTTATGCTGTGTTACAGGGTTATATGCAAGTGTCAACTCTTCACAGAGTTCTGGTGGCCTCATTTCAGCAGGAATGGGAATGACTTGCCACCTTGCTTGTGCCATACAAGCACAACTTACTGTCCTTGGCTTTATGAAGTGCTCCCACCATGCCATCTGTTAAACTTTCTCTACGTGAGCAACTTAATTCCAAAATTCAGATGTACTTCATGCTTCAGAAAGGGGAACATCATCTTTGGTTACCTATCCTGGAACAGTCTGACTGGGCAATCATTATGGCCTACTCTTTCAGTAATGGTGCTGGAGCTCCTCCCCATCTAGCAAATTATATATGAACCCTACATACCAGTTATAAAAAGTTCAAATTCTAATTCTTTTCCTTCCCAAAACTTTACACCAACCAAAATTGCAAAAAGGAGCAAGAGCTCAACTGATTCCAAAACAAGAGTAAATTCTCAGGCATATTTTTCTCCTGATGGACATAAAACACTCGTCATATCCTTCTCATACATTAATAAATCTACCACAGTTTCGTTTCCATCTACTCCAGTGGTCATAAGAACATCTACTGGAAACATCCTCCCCTTGACTTCACTTCCAGTAATTGCAGCCAGCTATGCGACCTGATAGTAAATTTAAAGGAATTTGCTCCTAAACTCAGGAATATGGACAGTACCCTCCTGGTCTTGTGTGTTGGCTACAAGCATAATTGCTTCCAGCTAACAAACGTGGGGCTACTGTAAACATTGTTTAACAGCAACTCCTTTATGCTAAAACGTCTAAAACCGCTCTTTTACGTGAGCGTGATGCCGTATAATTTTACATTATTTCAGATAGTCCTATGTGTTGATACTTTACTATGAGCAATATTAGAGGAACCTGTTCCTTAGTCCCTCATTCTGTGCTCAGATATTCTTCTAGTTTTCTACAGAAATACGGGATAGTCAAGAAGAAACTGTGCTGTATTTTACTGCAGATGCAATCAGACAGGGTGCTAGATAATCTCATCTAGGCTCCTTTTCTCACAAAAGGTTGGGCCAGGTGATCTTTCGAGGTCCCTTCCAACCTGGGCTGCTCTATAATTCCATGAAAACAGAGCTGTCCAGATATAACAAGTACATGAAGCAATGGAGAAAGGCTGAACTAAAGATACTCTAGAAGAAGACCAGAGAAAATGCTGAGGTAAAACTGAGAAACAGAACTATTTAAAACCAAAAACAGAGGACGCTTTTCACTGTGAAAGAAGAAATCACAGAATTGAAGACAGAATTAAGCAGCTCATTTATGTAGGATGGTTAATTTAAAAATCAAACAAAAGAAAAGCGTTGAACAGAAAAAGCAAGGTGAGTTTTGTTAAGGAACAAGCAAAAACATCATCAGAAAAAAACTGATTGTTTGACTTCCCCCAAAATAAATCAATGCAGGCTTTAGAATCTGGTCGGTTTTTATTCAGTTTGCTAAAGTAAGATGACTGAAGCAGAAAGTATTTTCAGCCTCTGTTGTCACAATAAGTACAAGCTGGGTTTTTCTTTTTTGACAGTCATTCATGGAACAGCAGCATACTCACTGATAGCTTACTACGAGCATGTTTGACAAGAAGTAGCAAGCAGCTGAATACATGAGAGCAGACCATTTTCAGTTCTAATGAAAACTGATGACTAAGTTCCGAATCACCAGCCACAAAACTCTTGCACTAGCAAGAGGATACAGACTAATAAGAAGAAATTTAGTAATAACATTTGGTGGAAGATTAGTAAAAAGACAAAACCCAATCACACACTCCTTTACTGAAACCACTTTTTTTCTGCATGATGCTATATGTGAATGCAATGGCTTGCAACCTAATTCACCTCTTACTTCAGATACTCTTGTGTCTTCCTGGTATGGACTGGTCCCAAGTTCTAATCCCATTTCAACACGGACCTTCTAATAACCTCTCCCATAAAATCTCCCGTCAAAAACAATTCAGCATTTTACCTTGTTTTCTGTCCTTCCCCATCTCCCCCACTATTATTTCTGGGAGTTGCAACAAACTTCCGATAGTTACTTTGAAATCAGCAAGGAAATGAAAAGTACTAAGAAGATGTAAGTCACATATATAACGAAGTATTACCCAATTTCCTTCAGGCCCCTGAGAGAGGCAGCTTGCACATTTAACCCTCAAGTCATTCATCTTTGGATTGTAACTATGGCAAAGTACTCTAGAAATGGAAAGAGCTGTTTTGGCATCCAATCTTACCTAGCTACAAGCACAGAGTTATACAGCAACTGATGTTTTGTCAAATCGAGCTGTACCACAATAAATTAAGGTCTCCACCACTCTTAGCCCAGAATACTGTTACAATCTAAGCAGTTTCATTATCAGAAAACATTTCCTCCTTGCATCTTCACCCAAAGGTCAGGCCGATATTTTCTATTACTTTTACAAGTAAATTTAATCTTTGTAACCTCCACATTGCTTGCATCCTTTCAATATTTATATGTGCTCAAGCCATAGCGTAGTTTGTTGTAACAAAAATAATAACTACAATAAAGACTGTTGCAGACAGGATTTGAAAAGCAGCTATTGTACCAGGATTCAGAAGCCTTTAAGAAGGAGGAGAAAGGGCATGCAGGGAAATAAACTGTTTCATCCACTGAAGGGGTATTTTTTTTTTCAAGTGACAGAGTGGGGCTTTCACAACTAGAAAGCTGACTAGGCCAGAGAAAGAAACAGCCTGTATCACTTCCATTTCACATGATACAGCTCCTCTGGAGTACGAAGGCACAACAGATCTTCCTGCTTCTACTTAACTCCTTGTCTAGGTTCTTCTCACATCTGTCCCAAAGCACACTACTCACCAGAGTTCATGTTTTCTGGGATACAACACATGCATTTTCCACTACCATGACCTGGTATTTCAGCCTGCTGATTCACTGACCATGAATCTCACCTTGTTACATTTTCATCCACATTTACATTCTTCAGAAGTTCATAACTCACACCAACATCACACTGAGAAATTTCTTTAGTTCAAAAGGAGAGCTGTCCGTATGTGCAGAGAAATTCATGTAGTTACCATTATACATACTCACACTTATCACAACTCTGGCAAGAAGCATGCATGGAAAATATGGTGGGATTACCTGTGAGATTAGCTGCCATCTCTTCAGCAGTCTGACACAGCCTCAGCCCTTGTTTTAGGGGACCTTCTGAGTCCACATACTGACGGCGCTTGAGGTAGCAGGACACTGCCATCTGAATCTGTTCTGTGCGTACGCGTTTCATGACCTCAAAAGAAGAAGAAAGAGAAGATGGGGCTCTTAATGTGTAGGTACACATTAAGGCTGATAGAGAACAAATGGCTCAGTATTTTCGTTGCTGAAGTATGAAACAAAATCTTTAGGCATGTGCTTCTCAGTACCAAGGCGTAACTAGACACTCTCAATCAGATCCGTACAGATATTTTGCTGCCTAATTCTACTAATTTCACCAAGGAATCCAAAATACTTTTGAAGATACTGGACTAAGACTGCAGTGGTGAGCCGAAGTCTTTGATTTTGTTAAAAATTAACTCAAAAAGGGAACATTTTTCCTCCCAGCTTTTTTACAGTAGCAGTCTGGGTAATCTTCAGTCATTGTCCGATTCCACTGCTTGACCAACAAACAAAATAATACCAGAAGAGTCGAGGGAATGAGAAAATGATATACAGGAAGGAAATTTCAGAATCATAATGCTTTAAATAGCAGACTAATTTTACCTATTTGTGGAGTCCAAGAAGCAATAGATTATTGCCTGGACTTAAAGGTTTAGAGTCAGACTTCTGGCATTTCAGTCAGGTTAAGTCCCCAGGAAAAAAAAAAAAAGAAGAAAAAACAAAACAAGACAAAAAAAAACACAAACAAAAAAAAAGCAGAGCCTTCTGCCTTTTTCACCTGCCCCCGTCTATCTAGACTTGCCTCCTACAAAAGTTTAAAAAAAGTCCTTTGAAGTTTTCTTTATATAAATTTTGAAAGCCATCCTCACAAACACCACTTGGTAGTATCTCAAAACCAAAAGGAGCCTGATGCTAGCTTTTAGCTTCTGGCTTGTAATAAAAGAACCTCAATAAGAGGAATGCAATAGCTCCCTTGATATTTGAGTAGTCCCTGTCTGCCACCAACCCTTCACAATAGCCATCAATTTTACACAGAAGTTTAGATAACCTAAAAGGCTTTACATAAAGCAGAACTATGCAACAGTTTTATTCTACCAGAAAAATACGTAAAGCCTGCCTCAAGATAGTTCTACACTTTACAGCCCCACTACCAGTGACCTGCATACATTTTACAAGTGCACATGCTTTCTGGTTTGAGTAGTTAAATCCGATGAAACACAACTTCTCAGAGACACAGACAAGGATTCCCTTGTAATTCCTCCCACTGTAAAAACCATATTTCTAAAAAAATGACAGATTTAAAAATATGATCATAAATGAGCCTTTTCTAATGCCCATGCACACATAAGTGCTTATCCCCCGTTGCTAGAACAATAAGCCCTCTGTGAAGTTCCAAGCAGACGGGGATGCAACGTTTCAGCAAAAGTTAAACAGATACGTGGAATTGCAAACCCATGTGCCTTGGCAAAAACCTTAAAAAGATTTCCATTTGTTCTCACGGGTTAAATAACTGTTGAGGGTGGGGAAGGGGCATCAACAGGTGTGGAGTTTTCAAAGCATTTCCAGATAGATCCATTAAAATCATGAGTTTCAACCACAACTTTTTCCACCCAAAAGCAAAATTCCTTTTCATCTTCTTTGCAATTAAAGAAATTATATCTGAGACAGTGCAAGTCTCAAATAGAACACTTTCTGCTGCACAAAACTGTAGGAAAGACAGAATTCTAATGAAGACCATGAAGAAGGGTAGACACAGTGATGGACCAGCATCTTGGCACCCTCCTAAAAAACACCCTTAACTAAGCTTCGCAATGTACTATGTTACCATTTTGTATTTCAGCCAGCAGCACCGACTCACATACAAGTGACCTGCCGAGGTCCACACTAATGCCTTTCCATGCAGTCTGCCAAATAGTTTAGGTTTGGGTAGCAACTTAACTATATTTGAGATGCTCTCATAGACGCTTATTTCAGGTCTAGAAACTGTTCCAGAGAGTTTGCATCTAGATTGTTGTATTTGGCCTGTAATCCAAAAGAAACTCACTCCCAAAATGGCATGGAACAGATTCAACTAAATGTTTCTGAAGTGGTTTAGCCAGTCAGAACTGCACAAATCAGCCTCAGGTCCGTGGTTCAACTGCAGAGAGAGCATCTAGAAATATTCTTGCCCACACTTTTTTTGCTTCAGTTACAGGATCCATTTGCGTTAGGTTAGATTTGGTGAGAAAACCCTTAATCGTTATGGCACAGCATGCATATCTAGTGAGGATATATCAAGCTGTAGCATGCATGTACAGATAATTCCTCATAAACTCCTAATGGAACAGAGAAACTGAGAACTGGCAGGTGAAAGATGCAGAACTTCAGAGGACCCTTTGAAATGACAAGAGGAGCACTGAGATCAGCCTTTTCAAGCTGCTGAACAAGCAGATGACCAACTGAGAAAATGGTAAATTTTAAATGATAGGCAAAAAAAAGCAGTAGGTTACCCAGCAGTCTCAAATTCTAACATCAGGATCGGACATTTTAGCAGCAAGAGAGAAGGGTCTGGGAAGGGAGCGGTCGTTGGCAGCTGATTCAAATCCAAGCTTTTCCAGAGCTTTGGGGATAACAGGGAAGCCCCAGTTCCTTCAGCCAAGGCTAGCAAGGTGGCATTCCCAGCTGCTTTATGCAATCTGTGCAGTTTCTCGCTCCCTTCACATACTCTGTATACTCCTCCCAGCAGTCACAGCAGTGGGTGTTACGAGCAGTATCTCCGAGCAGTATCTCAGGGAGATCTCTTTCCCTACTCCCAGGTGACAGAACAGGAACTACCTTACAGGAAATGCATCTTCACCAAGAAACACCCCTTGGCATCAGACACACTATCACCCCCACCTTCATTTCACGTCTTTGTGTCTTCATTCACTTTGCTCTTTGTAATGCTGAGGGTGAAGTACAAAGGCAATGTCACAGGAGTGGGGAAAGTGTCCCATGAAAAGAGCAAGAAGAGCAAAATCAACATTCCTACAAATATTCTTTATCAGGCCCGCAAAATTAAGAGCATATCATAAAATAAACATAAGAACAGCCTGCCAAAATGCCTTTAACTGGGTGCAATCTGAGCCAGTTCACAACAGGTCAATGATGCAGAATTTAAAGGCAAAAAAGTACAAGCTTGCCATTTTAACCTCCAATTAATTTTAAGACTCTAGCTCTCATCCCTGAAGATAACCTCCATGATATGAAACAGTCTGAAAGCATATAGAGATCCCTGTCCGTGCCTGCAGAAAGCTTGAAACAATTGTTCAGAAGTCTCAGCTGCCCCGCTCTTCTCAAACAGCCCGAGAGAACAATAAATGCTAATACCATTAATTATTTTTACTGATAAGCAAAACATGTAAGGAAAGAAAGAAGAAAGTTCACATCAGGGGTCTGCACAGCTACAATGTAGCACCTTCCGCAGTGTCACAAACTGGAGCACAAAAAGGAAATTATTAGGTTACATTTTTTTGAGGAACCAAAAACACTGAGGAAACCCAGAGGAGAGGTTGATCATACAAAACACATCACCAGTTCCTCTTTCCTAAAAAAGCTGGAAATTAGCTGTGTACTAAGCATCAGGCTAAGGAAATTAATTTCCTGCCTATGCTACATCTCGGGTACAGGTTTAGGCAGATTCCACCACCTTGAAATGTTACCAGTACAGACATACAAAAAAGACCTTGAAAACTAGCATTGGAAATGCTGCTTTTAAAGACTCTGCATTCCTGTCCTGGTGCTGGGACAGCAATCTCTTCCTTCCAACAGGCCGAGGAAAGACCTGTGAGCAACAGAGAAGAACACCAGGGACAAGCAATCTTAAAAAAAACCAAAACAAAACAACAAACCAATAAAACAACCCACAAAAGCACATTCTGAATATTCTCTGCTGAGAACCGTCTCAGGCCTCAGCAGCAGATAAAGAAGCATCACCTTTTACCTCTTTTATCACAACAGGTGAAATGTGGAGTCTACCAACACCAAATCACCTCATTTTTAATTTTGTGACAGTAAGTTTACCTAAGACTGACAAAATTTCAGAACAAACAAGGTAAGGACAAACTGATACGACGATTACGGTGAACCTTGAGCCAAGGGACCTCACAGATGCAGCAGCTGCAATTCAGAAAAACAGGCAAGTAAACATGACAAGTCGACATGGAGACGCGGCATGGTGGTGCAAAACAGGGAAAGTGGTGCAGGCAGCAGGAAAGACGGAGGCGGCTTTTGCCCGAGCAGCAGCGTTCAGGCGGAGAAGACCCAGCTGTGATTTTAGAAAAGCCTGCATCTATTTGCCTTGCACCTAGATTTGACTCACCGAATTAAGCTTTGCCAAGTCCACAGTGTTGTTTCCATCCCTCCCCTCCCCGCACCCCGAAGACGGAGCGATTCGACCTCCCCGGGCAGCAGCTACAGCCTCACGCCTGCGGCGCGGCGCGGCCCGGCCCGGCCCGGCCCGGCCCTTCCTCCCCGCGGTGGAGCCGCCGGACCGAGCCCCGCTCGCCCGTAGGCCCCAGTGGGGGGGCAGCGGGGCAGCGCCGGGAACCCCGCCGGGCCGCTGCCGCCCGGGAAACCGGAGGGCGCTCGATAAAGGGGCGCCGCGAAAGTGAAAGTTTTCCCCTGTCAGGATTAAAAAAAAAAAAAAGATATAAAAGAACCAGAAAATAATAAAAAAGACGAGAAACGGTGCGGTAAGAAGCCGCTAATCAAACCCACGCACTTCTGAAGGAAAAGGAAGAATCTAAGGAGAGAAGCACCCCCCGCCACCTGCGGGCGCAGGGAAGGCGCCCGGCCCTGTCCCCCCCCGGGGCTGCCCCCGCCCCCGCGCACCCCCCGGGGCCCGCCGCCCTCCCGGGAGCCGCCCGCCGGGCCGGGCCGGGCCTGCGGGCCTCCGCCACGAGGCGGCCCGGCGGGACGCCCGGGGCCCGCTCCCGCCGCCCGCCGCCGCCGCCGCCGCCGCCCTCCCCCCGGGCCGGCCCCGCGCGGGTCTCGGGCCGCGGCCCCACGCCGGTCCCCGCTCCCCGCCACTCACTGAGCATCGCAGGCGGCGGGCGGCGGGAGGCGGGCGGCGGGGGCCGGCGGGGGCGCTGTCACTGCGCCCAGCGGCGCCAGGCGCTGCCGGCGGGCGCGCCGCCGCTGCCGCCTGCCCTGGGTGCCGGTGGTGGCGGCGGCGCTGGCGCGGCCGGGGCTGCCCGGGGGCCGGCGGCGGCTGGCGGCGGCGGCGGCCGCCCCATAGCTGGCTGACACACGCCGCGGCGGGCGGGCGGGCGCGGCGTGGGGGGGGGGGGGGGGGGGGGGGGCGGAGGGAGGGGGTGGGGGGGAGCGGGGTTGGGGCCGCCCCGCGCGCAGGCGCCCTCCGGCCGCCAATGGGCGCCAGCTTCCCCCCGCCCCCAACCTCCTTCCCGCGATCGGCGATCGGCTGGCGCTGCCTGGCGGGGACAGAGGTCGGCGGGGAGGCGCGCGAGGCGCGCGGCGTGGCCGGGCGGGACGGTGAGGGCCAGGAGGCATCGTGTGGGGGGCGGGGGATCCCCGCGAGGGGGGAATGGGGGCCGGGGAGAGGTGGGAGACGAGGAGTGGGGGGGTGTGTGTGGGGTCTACTGCCTTCGCCTTATCCGACCCTTCCTTCCAGCTCTGTGCGGTCGCCTCTCCCCTGGGCCCGTCCTCATGGCGGCGGTTTATTCTGGGATTTACCTGAAGCTGAAAAGTGCCAAGACTTCTTGGGAAGACAAACTGAAACTAGCCCGTTTTGCGTGGATTTCTCAGCAGTGTGTCCTTCCTAATAAGGAGCAAGTAAGTACATGGCAATGGTAAACAGTGAAAGAAAAAAAAAAAAAAAAAAAAGGCAAACAGCTAATTGCTGCTGTGAATGGATTGAGTCATAAGATCCAGATCTCGGTGCTTACGCTTTTGACCCTCGGTAGTAGTGCAAATATAGCTCTGATGTGGAATTGCGGGCAGCTCGTGATTTCTGTGTGGTTATACGAAGTGTTTTCATAACACCATCTTTCAAGCAGCTTCATCGGAAAGATCTGCATTAGGGTAGGAAGAGTCTTTCTTATAGAGAGGGTGGTGTGCGTGTGTGTTCTGCCTGCTGGAGAGATGAGAAACCGTTGTCTTAAGAACTGTCATTAGCACTGGTTACTATAGTTTATACAGGAGGCTCTAAAGCCTGATGCATCTGATCACGGTTAAGAACAAGAGGTTCAGGGTGGGAGAACTGGCCGTAGCTAGGCGCCTGGCTTCTGGTGCTCCAGACTCGCCCTGCACCTGCAAGGGGCTTCTCCTTGGAAGGCGGTTTGGTGCTCTCTGCTTAGGAACCCAGCCTCACCCCTCCAGTCTTTTGTTTTGACCCTGTTTGCTGCAGGTCTGCTCAGTGTTTTCTCCGAGTGAGGGGTGTCTTGTGCTGCTTCTTCAGCCTAGTAGTTTTGTGGGGCCTAGGGTTTCTGCCATCTAAGATCTCTGGTTTGAATTCTTGTTGCTTCAGTTACTTAGAATATTAAACCTAGCCATACACCATCATTTTCTTTTTAAATCAACTATTTAAATGAGTGGTTTCAACCTTTTCCAATTTGCACACATCTAAATTCCTAGGCCTGAATTTCTAGGTAGCAAATTTAAACATACGAAGAGGAGGATGTGAAGGGAATACCAGTTGTCAGAAAGTGAAAGCTATCGGATTAAGTTTTGATTTAAAGGACTACATTTGCTTATCAGTATCAACTGTTAGAATTATGCCCTGATGAAAGGGCCTTAGGATGTTGACTCCTGAAGGCTGTTTTGAGATGGCACAGGGAAGCGCAGGGCCAACACTGGATTTAGAATAAAAGCTTTTAGGAATTGAAACCTACCAGGGCAGACTCCTCTGCTCATTCAAAGCCTGTTCTGCTTGGATGTAGAGCAGTTCTCAAGGCACAAGTGCTGTAATTGTGAAAAAGTGCTACTTTTGTCTTGTTTTCACATGGGGGGTTATTAAAGATGACTTCTTTTTCCTTTTGTTAACAGGTATTACTCGACTGGGTAAGCCATGCTTTGGTTTCATACTACAATAAGAAACCTGAACTGGAGGATGAAGTTGTTGAGAAACTCTGGGCATATCTAGACAGTGTTATCCATAGTAGAAGACTACAGAATCTCTTAAAGAGTGGGAAGACAATCAGTCTCAGTTTTTCAGTTGCACAGGTAACTAAAACTGTGGCTATTTTGTAATGTGCTGAATAGCAGTGTGTGTCTACTACTGTACGTGACTCTTCCTCACAGTGTAGGGTGTTACATGAAATATATAATAATTAATCTGATAGTTTCTAGGACCTATACTAAAAACTCCTCTATTTCTGTTCAGCAATACAGTTTGTATTTGTGCAGCACTAAGGCTGAAAATGGCAGAGCATTCTAATAATAACATTCCTCTCTGTCTTTAACTTCTTCAAACTATCAGAGAATGGTCTGAGTATTTCAATAGGTAAGTAAAGGCTCAGTTCCGTGTGTTGCTCTTCTATATTATTTATTGCTTAGATTGCCATTTTGCCTGGGAGTCTCAGCGAGAGAGATGTTTTCCCTCGCTGTGGGGCTCATCAGTGTGTTTGGTTTGAGTACTTCTGCATTGTGACATTCTGTTCAGCACACCCTGCAGCTTCTTATGATGACTGAACAGTGGCAGCACCAAATCATTATTGGTCTTAATCATATCATTATTTTGCGCTCAGCTGAAACTGAATGGGGGAGACTTCAGTTACAGTTTAGAACTGAACCAGAAAGCGTAACTTCTTGTTCAGCTTTCTGGTTACAGAAATAGCAGAATTAGTGGATGGCTGCAAAAGCAGTCAAAATGACTGGAAAAATTACTGTTTTAGTTGTGGTCTGGTTGGAAGGAATCAGGAGAAGATTGTCTTTAGCTGCAGAAATCAAGTTGTGAAGTACACAAACTGTTTGGATGAAATCTGTGTTTCAGAGATATTGCGCAGAAAGTTTGCAAAATTTAAACATGGTCTGGGTGTGAAAAATCTGTCTGGCTGAAGATTAAGTGAGAGATACAAGCCAGAGTACCCTAAAGACCAAGTACAGAGGTGGTAGACAGTCCACCAGAAAGAATTTAAGGATCTGTTTTGGTCCAGGGGGAGCTTGAGCTGAGGAGATGAACCTTCCGCTACAAGGTGTAAGGAGAGAGATGAGGTTTTTAACTTTGGAATAGAGGCAGATTTGTAAATTGCTACTGAATTTGTTTGCTGACAAGATCATCTGGAGGTGAGAAAAGGCCTCAAATAAAAAGGGGATGAAAGGAGAAAACCGCAGGGAAATCAACACAAAGTTTGAGAAAAGGAAGGGAAATGCAAGTTCAAGTAAACTTTTAATTCTTTAGAATTGCTTATCCCTTAAAGAGAAGAGAACAGTCCTTCACATTCCAGATACCAGCACAGGAAACTGACTCTTTCTAAAATATAAGAATGATATCTAGTCATGGACATTCTTACTGAATAAGCTTCCTGGATCAAAGGTGGAACATGTGTTGTGTGGGAGTTTGTTGTTTTTTGTTTGGAGCGTAATTTTGGGGACCTTGCAAGATGGGAGGAAATTTATCCTTACTCCCTTTCTGTAGAATCAACTATTAGGATCAAGTATGGTCAGTCTTATGCTGTTGCTAGTAGCACATCTACTGAGTGAGGGCTTCCTCACTCATCCCGTGGTGCAAACAAGCGCAGGGGGACAGTTCTGGCCAGAGGAACTTCTAGTTTGAGACCTACAATGTGTGAGGCCCAGCAGCAGCTGTTGGCAGGTCCTTGTTGCTTCTTCCTTGCAGACAGAGCTCACAGAAGGTGGTGTTGGTTCATTATGATGAGCTTTATCTTTGTGTGCAAAATTGACTTTTTTTTTTTCCCCCAAACCTCAGGTCATAAATGAAAGGTTATCAGAGGCCTGTTCTCAAAAAACACAACAAAACATTGGCACAGTGCTGAGTTGCTCCAGTGGCATCCTTTCTACTTCTTCGCTCTCCATCATTTACACCACAAAGTGTGAGCTCTTGATTGATCTCCTCAGCAAGCTGTCCACGCTGGCCTGTCAGCAGCTGGCTTCTGATGACGCTGTGGGTTCCCAGTTGTTCAGTGTCCTCCAGCTTACCTTTGCTCAGTACCTCCTGATCCAGAGGCAGCAAACCAACCCAAATCGTGTGTTTGGGCAAGTGACAAGTCACTTGCTCCAGCCATGTCTGCTCCTGAGGCAGTTGCTGACTGTGAGGAGCTGGACACAAGCAGATGACAATCATGTGCGTCAGCACCTGAGCAGGGAAATCCGAAACCAAGTAGAAACTTTGCTGCAGTCTGGCTTATTCCCGCCTGAGCTTTTCTCATCGTACAAAGAGGAGCTGCTGCCAGAACAGGAACTCCAGGAAAAGAAGAAAGGAGCTTTGAAAAGTCTTGTGCTACCAGTCAGCACAGTGCAGACCAAGCTGCGCAGTGGCTTTTGTGAACCTGCCCTCCACGGAGCTGTCGTGGCTGGTTCCGTGTCCCTGCTATATAAGCTCTTTCTGGATGCGTACTGTAAGGCAGAAAACCACCTTGTGTGTTTCCACATGCTCAGCAGGTTTTTTGGCTGTCTCCAGCTCTCTGGCCTGCAGCAGGGCATGAGGGAGGACACGCTCTCCCCTGCGGATTGGAGCACGGAGTTGCTTGCTTTGGAACAGCTTCTGAACTTGGTGCTTAGCAGTGATATCTATAATGTTGCCAGTGACCGCATCCGGCACAAGGAGGTACAGTTTGGGTTTTACCGCCAGCTAGCACAGATGTTGATGAGGCACTCCCAGGCTTCCATCCCTGCATGGTTCAGATGTCTCAAACTCCTGATGTCATTAAACCACCTTATAGTAGAGCCAGACCTGGATGACTTGGTGGCCTCGGCTTGGATTGATGCCAAGGCCTCTGAGCAGCGTACGAAGAAGCCCCAGGAGGCCCTCATCAACACTGTGTTTCAAACTTACTCCAAGCTGCGACAGTTCCCACGGCTCTTTGAGGAGGTGCTGACAGTCATTTGCCAGCCAGCTGCTGATGAACTGAGGCTGCCTGTCTTCTCTGCTGGCCTGACAGTAAAGCTTCGTGAGTGCCTCCTTGAACTGCCACCTAACCAGATTCTGGACATTTTGTGTCTTTTCGTGGAGAAATGCCAGACCTTCATCATTCCTGCTGTTGAAGGGTCAGCTGACATGGCCTCGAAGCTGCTATCAGTGAGCTCGGTGCTGCATGCTTTTCTGTTCAACATGAGGAGCTTAGATGATGTCACTCCTTCCCCTGTGGTCCTTCGCACTCAGAGTCTGCTGGCAAAGATGCAGAAGGGAATAATTCGGCCACTGATGGAGCTGCTGCAGGTTCCTAGAAGAGAGGAAGAGAAGTCAGAGCTTTGGCTAAGAAAGGCCAGTGATTCTGCTCTCCTCCTTGTTTACACTTGGGTTGAGGTAGACACTTTGTTTGGTGTTAGCTGCAGTAAATATGTGTCTCCGACAGCTGAAATTGCTGGTTCTGTTACTGAACCTGCTGCAAGGCACTGGAGCATGTCAGCTTTCCTCCCTGGTGTGAAGGAGCAGTGCTGGGAGAGACTCATGGAACTTGCAAATGGTTTTGCCTCCACTAGTAAATACTGCCTAGAACTGCTCACGCTTCAGAAAATGAAGATGGTCTTAATGCAGACCAAAGCTGACCTGCAGGCATTGCAGCATGGTGCTGCTTTCATCCTGGAGTCTGGGAGATCCAGCATGAGCAGGGGAGAATCTGAACCCTGGGATGGAGACATCAGCGCAGTAAGTGATCTTACCTACCCCACGGCACACTGGCACCTCATCATCTCCAACCTGACTATCCTGTTGCCGTATAGTTCCCCGAAAGATGTAGAGTACATTGCAAATGTGCTTCTAGATACCTTAGTATTGGCCAAAGCTCAGGAAGCGGCTACAGACCAGGAGCCTTCCCTCAGCATTGGAAAGATATCTCTTGATTTGATGCATAGTTCCTTTCTCCCGGAAATGAAGGTCCTGCATTGTGCTTTTCTGACACGTCTTATTGATCAGTTTGCTAGGGTGCTGCCTGCTGCTGCCAGGGATTCAGTAGATCTGCCACTTCAGCAGCTCTCTGCAGGTAACATCCCTTGGCATGAAGAAATCCTGGCTCATTGCAGACCTGTTGACCTGTTGGAAGCACCGTCAGAAAGCAAACCGCTGAAGGATCAGCTCAGCTTGTCTTGGAAAACACTGGAGAAAGTTGCCCATTGTATAGTATTGTTAGCAAAAAGTGACTGCCCTGTCATCCTGAAAGAAAGTCAGCTCAAAAGCTGCTTGGGTTTGCTGGAAATTGCTTCCCTTCTGAAACTAGACAGTCTCCTTCCCTCTGATTGTACCCGGTGTTTTCTGGTGCTGCTGTCCCTGCTAGCCAATACCAGGCCTAGAGTCTCTTGCAGCAAGCTGATATTGCTGAAGTTTCTAAGTACCTGCTTCCACCTCCTGAGGTGCCTGCAAGCTGGCAGGAATGCCAGCTCTATTTTTAAGGTGTTTCATGCCAGCGATGTTCTTGAGGCTGTCATGACCTCCCAGCTTACAGCTAGCAAATTCTTCACTGATGTCTTGACTGTTCCTGATTGGACAGAGTATCTCCAGGAGGTCCAAGCCTTTTTAGAAAACTTTCTTCAGGTGATTATTGAAAGAAGGCAAAGTGTGAGGCTCAACTTGGAAAAGTTCATGTCTTTTCTGGTGAGCTGCAAGCCAGGCATTGATGCAGCCAAAAGCAAAGGCTTGAAGAACTGGAATCCCGCAGCTGGGCAGTTACTGCTCATGGCATTCACCACACTGTGTCATGTCGTCACACTCTACCTTCAGCAGCTGCCAGAAAAGAAGCTGCAGTCTGCGGATGTGCTGTCTGCTCTGTTGGAGCCAGTCGTTCTGCAGATGGTCAGAACTGTGGAACACAGTCTTCAGAGTAACACCCAAAACCAGCCTTTGCCTGTGGCATTCATACCATCTGTCACGACTCTTCTCAAAGCAGATCTGAGCCATGCTGTCAGGAAGGGCTGGCAGAAGGAGCCCAGTGGGTTTTTGGAGCAGCCCCGTATTAAACTGTACCAAAAGTTTTACTCTCAGATACTGAGAGAGCTGCCCTGCGCAGGAGGTAATCTGCAGTTCCTTCAGTCTGCACTGCAGTTCCTGACGGTCTTCTGCTCGGTGCCAGAGCTGTATCCTGGAAAAGAAACTGCAGTCGTGGTTGTTTTTGCTATAAAAAAGCTTCTCACTGGTATGAAAACTTCCTTTCTCCACTTCCTTTGCTAGTTTTGCAGCACAGGGGCGAATTAAAAGCTGTTCAGCAAAACATACAGATTTTTCAAAAATCTGTATTTACTTGTGTTAAAGCAATAGGCTATCCTTTTATAAACACGTAACAGGAAAATGTTCAAGGTGGCAATGTTATGGTAGACCATAGCCATCATCTAATTTGGTAATGACCTTCTGGAAGATGTAAACATCTTAATAAAGTTGAGGTCCTGAGTTACTCATCCCTGTAGAGCATTTTGACAGTAACTGGAACGTGGTAATAGTTCTGGATGTAGGGCTGAAGGTGCAGTGTCCTACTCATGTAGTTGGTATAGTAGGCACCACTGAAGCAGCTGATGAGTGCCAGGTCAGATCTGATATGTCTTATTTGAGGGTCTTGGAGAACCTTACAGCAAAATACTCATTTATTTTTGTATCTGGTAGGTAAGGTTATGGAACAGTGGAAGTTGCCTAACTGTTAAGAATGCTGAACGCCTGTAATTCTGAAAAAGTCTGTGTGAAGTTGGCAGATCGATCCCTTTATCCCCATCAAATAAAGAGCAGAGCTGGAAATTACATGAAAAACTTCTCGCCAGCTATGTGACCTAATGGCTCTTTTGTATTGTCTCGTTCAGAAAGAGAGGCGAACTAATATCTGTTCTCTTTGATTTCTTCAGACAGTTGGAATTTGTCAAACTTACTACTAACATGCTCTAGTGCAGTGGTCTCCAAACATTTTTGATTGCGCACACCTATCAGTAAAAAGAAAATAAATTGAGCGTGCAGCCTCAGTATTTATTTATAAATTATATGCGTGTGCTACTCTACTAGTATACTATGTACATTACAGAGCATACACAAAAAAAGTTTAAAAAGCGTGAGGATAAAGATGAAATAAACATCACTTCTACATTTTCTTTTATCTATTAAAGTTATTTTATTTATAATTCCCACACCCCAGTGGATTGTCTTGTGCACACCCCAGGGTGTGCACACCTCACTTTGGAGGCTGCTGCTCAATTGAACTGTGGTCATGATCTCAGTGTTGATACTGGCATTAGGTAGTTAAGAACAGAGCACAGCTCTCCATGGAAAATCTGATTTTGAATCTGTGCAGTCGAGTTTGAGCTAGAACTCAACACATGGATACAGGCTTGGTCTGTCTCTTCCCTGTCCTGCTTTTTGATCCTTCAGCGTTGTGGGGTTCAGTGAGGGTACTGAGAGCAGGGACACGTTAGAACTAGGAACCATGAGAATGTGTCAATTGCTGTAATCTTTCTGCTGACTTTTCTCTCTCTCATCCCGCCCCTCACTTTACTAGTATAAGATTGGTAAAGTGGTTTAGCCTGGAGACATAATTAATCACTGTAAAAAGCAGTAAGAATTTCTGATGAATAAGTTAAGTATTCAGTAAGAAGAAATATGAATTCCTGTTGAAGAAGACTTTCAGCATTGCCACAGATCCTGTGGATACTTGTGGAACTGAAAAACAAGCCTTCAGAATCAATGAAGATATAAGCTAATCTAGGATTGTCTATGTAGTAACAATTGTGTAAGTGGGGAGTGCGACTTAAGATCAGCAGAGACCTAAGCTTTGTCAGTTTAATGCTTTTGTGACTTGTGATGGCTCTCTGGCCAGCATTTGTAGTAAAGCCCTGTGGCTTGTTTAGCTTGCTCCCTTGGCTTGTGCACATGCTTTGTTGTAGCATATCCACACTACTGAAATCTTTTTATTGGTATGATGACTGCTCTGTGAACCCTAGGGTAGGAAATACTGGAGAACAGCAATTCATTGCACTATTGGGGAGGGAGGTAAAGGGAAAGCCTGGGGCCCTCTATGCATTTTAGTGTTAAAAAGATACCCACAGAGCTGTTGTAAGGTTCAATTCACCCTGTTGCTTACCTGTGGAAGTCCCTGTCTTGGGAACTGATTAAAACATGATTGTGCCTCTTGAACATGCAGGTGCTGCGATCACGACCCAGGTGATCCACAGTATGGAGCTGGAGCTGACAGAGGTGCTTGTCCAGCTGCTGGGAAACTGCTCTGCCGAGGAGTTTTATACCATAATGAGGCTGATGCTGGAGGGACTTGAAATGAGGAATGTTTGGCAACAGAAGGCTAAAGTAAGGCGTGAGCTTAGTTTATTGTCAACTTCTTCAGTTTCTGTATCTTGAAAAAAATTTTTGGCTGAATGACATCTGATAAATACTTTTTTCCTCTTCCTGCTTTATGTTCAGTGGTCAAGTCAAATTCATTTACGTGGTTAAGGACTTGGTGACTGTGCTGAGATATGTTCTGGATATAAATTGAGGGAGCTGGAAAGGTCGTGGAAACCTACTGGGAAAACTTTCTATCCAGTTTAAGGACTCAGCAGTCTTGATTCCATGTGTTGTCAACAGAAATCACACAGTTGTGATGTTATAGACCATGCTGAAATTTTTTTTCTACTGGCTGATCATAACTCTTGCACAACAGATACCAGCAGTGAGTTTAACCACTGTTTGCTTCTGGCTCGTCTTACCACCTTCTTAAGAAGGGCACTTGTAGAAATGCTGGCATTTGAAAGTTTAAACCAAAATCACACCTCTGCTTTTGATATTTATCTCTATAAAGACATTTACTCTGTAATAACCAGATACCACTCAGTAGCTTTTTAAATACTGTTCCTTTCTCCAGAGCAGCTTAAGCAGCAGTGGTGACATATGGAACACTTTTGGCAAAAAAGCCAGCTGTACCCTCCGTAAAAAGCTCAGTGACTCTCTGAGAGTGGAACTTGGATTAAACTTGGGGGTTTATCAGCTTCTGTCTTGTTTGCCAGAAATAGACATGGATATGCTGCATCAATTCTTGATATGTCCTTTTGAAAGTGTATCTGGAGTTCCTGTACTGTGCATATAATCCCTGCCACCTGAATGTAGCTTGTAATATGTTTCTTTTATCAGTCTGTCATAACAGCCAGCAAGTAAAAAAATCCCTGCTGCCAAATGCAGCATTCTTAGCATATAGTGTACTGGTGTTTCTGTATTCCCCCTGCTTCCCTCTCTTACCTAGTAGTAGCTGAAGGCTTTCCATTCTTAAAAATCACATAAGCCTTTCTGTACAGTAAGTTGATGCTAAAATAAATGTAGCATGCAATACATTTGGGCCAGTGCTGCTCAGCGTATTGAATTTTGTTGAGCTGCTGCTAACTTCACAAATTCCAGAGAGATGTGTTGGTGGGAGGACTTTCATGTGTTAAGGCTCTAGTGATGCTCAAAACTGCCACTGCCCTTGAAAGAGCTCTCCTCTACTTGAAAGGAGCCAGTGCATCATGTACCTGTGACTGATCATAAGTCTGCTTTCTGCAGGAAGTATTGTCAGCTGTTACGCTAACCAAATTGTTGCTCAGCTGCCCATTAAGTGGAGACAAAGAGAAAGCTTTCTGGTTTGCCAGCCCTCAGATAATCACAGCTTTAGCTGTAAGTATCTCTTTATTATAACTTCATTACCTATCCCTTTGATTTGTTGGAGTCTATAGCGGTTACATCTAACATGCACAGAGGCAAACAGAAACAAAAATGTTGTGGATACATACCAGATTCACCTGCACTTTTTTGTCCAGACTTTTTCTCTACTCCTTCCTCAAGTAAATCTCCTCCTGTGAGTGCAATGTGTAGGTCATCTGTTTCTTACTGTCAGTAATTCTCTGGGACTGCACCATGTAATCTGGAGCCTGGGAGAAACTTGTTAGGCTGCAGAGAAGAGAGTCTGAGACTCCTGTCCTTCCTCCTGTCCGAAGGAGAAGGTAACTGTCAGCCACATGTTGCAGCAGAAGCCAACAGCAGCAAAACAAAAAGTAAAAAGTGCTCATATTAAAAAAACAATAGTAAATTCAGTGAATTATGAATGAGAAACTTAACTGAAAGTAACCAAACTCAGGTTTCCTGTCCTTCATTTGTGCAGCATACAAACCTAGTGATGTAGGTTTTCCTTCTCTCATGGTGACGGTGTCTCCAGACCAGAATTTGTCAGAGGTTAGCTCTGCAATGCCTGGGAATCGTGAGCATGCAATTTCTGCCTTTTTGGTAGGGCTGCATGCTTGTAAAGGAGTGAACTGCATCAATGCGTTCATGCGAGGAGGTGCAAAGAGGTGCTGGTTGTCAGGGGGCTGGGGACTCGTTATAATTCCACACTCAACCACAGTGTTTGCTTGAAATGTATCATATGCATCCTCCCCCAGGATGCAGCTGCATGAAAATGGCTGAAGCGCAGGGGTCTCCCTGCCAGTCCAGCTTGCACCAGTCTAGTTCTGCTGACTTGAGTCAGAGCATTATGGTTCTCTGGTGTGTGAATGCTACTGATAGGTGGCTAATGCACTCCTTATCTGTTTCCTGTCGTCTCGCAGATGCAAACCAAAGAGGCTTGTCAGGACCAGTCACTGATTTCCACAATAGTTGTACCTATTCTAGAGACTGTAGCAGCTCTGCTAAGGCAAGGAGAAGGGGTTCTCTTGAATCCACACCATGTGTCGTTGGCGTTCAGCATTGTCCTAACAGTCCCTCTGGATCTTGTGAAGACAGAAGAGTATCGCAGTGTCTTCCTGGGAGTCCATGAAGTGCTCTTCTCTATTGTGCAGTGTCATCCGAAGGTATATCTGTGAGGGGGTGGGAGGGGGGAGAAGAAGGTAGAAAGAACCAACACAGAGGCCAGTGATGAGAATTTCTTTTTTTAATAGTGGTTTTGAAGTAATTTGCCCTGATAATATGAAAGTGCTTTGTCCTGCTTGTCATTTAAAAGGCTGAGAATCTCAAAATAACATAATTTCAGTTCTGCTTTTGTTTATGCCTGCATTGTTGGTCTTTGGCAGCAGATTGCTTAACACCTAATGCTAAATTAGAATAAAACTTTCCCTTTTTTTATGGTTGATTTCTAGAAGCACAAATGGCTCAGGCTCTAGGATGTCATTCTCACTGGAGATCAAGTTTCTGTAGTCCTTTGAAAACAGGGCTTAAACATGTTAGAAGTTGGTGACCTTCAAACATTGTACCATCCTGGTGTTCTTGTTAGCCTTCTGGCATGGGAAGGTGAAGATGTGCCAGGACTTGCACAGGGTTGAAGATACTCCTACATGGAATATGTAGGCAGAGGTGGAAGAAAAAGGAAAGGGGCCTCCTCCACTTGTGTTGGGATTGAGGGTGGAGAAAGTTAAAGATGGGGAAAGGGCAAATTCTAAAAGCAAGGCAGTATGCTTTGCTAAAATGCTCTTACAAAAACCCTGTGGTAGAAAGCTGCCTGTCTGGGCTGTTTTCACACAGTGATCTGTAGTGTTACTGGGCCTTGCATTCTGTGAATCTGTCTGGCTACACAGGTTCTCTACCAGCAAGGACTAATTCCTTAGACATTAGGGTACTAAATCAAATGCTGCTTTGGAGAGATGACATAAGTCTATTATGTTTACTTGTTATTTATATTTGAATATGGCCAGGACTGCAATCCTGCTCCAGGATTCTAATGTGCTAGATACAGTATGGATGCAGAATGAAAAAAAAAGTTAGTCTCTGCTTCTGACAGCTCTATAAGCTATATAGTTTCCTTCACAGGAACTGATTTCCCTCAGACTATGGAGTGGTGTACCTCTACCCTCTCCACTACCTTTACTGCATAATCTCAGATGTTTCTGTTCTGTGTCTTTGCAGGTGCTATTGAAAGCAGCACCATCTTTTCTGAACAGTTTCCATCGTCTGGTTGTTTCTGTCATGCATGAAGGACGTCAGAAAGGAGACAGAGGTACCATATCCTTTCTACTTTTGCATAATATATACACACTGTAATTTTGTATATTCTGGAAGAGGAGATGCAGAACAGGACAGTCTGACACCAGAAGCAAAGTGCTCAAAACCTAGCTGTGGCATTGAAACTATAAGCCATAACCATCCTTCATGTAAAATTGGGGATGAGCTTTGTAGTATCATGGGCTTATGAAGATAACTGGGGTTCCTGTGGAGTTGTATGCAGATGGCACTGCTTTAACTGAATAAGGTATTCTTCACTGACTGGCTGGCAAGTGGACAGGAATCAGTAGGGCTTGCTGTGCCCAATTTCCTATCAACCCCTGTGCCTGAAAGCATGGTGGCTGTGAACTCTAGTGATACATGCTAATATGCCTGAGTTATTGCCCCAAATCGATCCTACTAAGTGGAATTTATTGAGATTGGAATTATGTTTACTACAGACCTGAATTGTCACCACTCCTTGCTAAGCATAAAGCCAGAACATTACACATATCTGAAGTATCAATTGGGATTAGATGATACATCTGTATGGTCAAGGATTTGGAATTAATGTAGTTAAATATCTCAAAAGGAAGAACAAAAAATAGAAGACTTGCTACTGGAGGTTATTAAAGAATTTGCATTGTCAAAGCAGTCAAGTCAAAGATGTTCACAGTGATTAAGATAATCATCCCATGCTTTATGCTGGTGAGGACAAATATCCTGTCGTTACTTGTGGTGACTTTTTGAGACAAGTTGACTTCATGGCCTGCAACTGATCATATCCCAGCTTTTCACTGATGTCCCACAGCATACGCCATGGTGAGATTTATCTTAGCTGATATGTTGCCCATAACTGTGGGCAAATGTAAGTGTACATATGCATCGTGGAGGAATAAGCTAACAAAGGGTCAGTGATGGAGGAAAAGGTGTGTTAAGTCGGTGCCAGACTTTGAGAATTTGCTTGCTTCTGCAGTATGTTTATATAAGGCAAGGGTCATAGGAAACTTATGGGTACATGGCATCCTCAAATTGAAAAAACACTTTGTTTATCTTTGTAGGATTGTTCTATGTTTCTAGATTTCCTTTCTCCCGTGTTTGTGTTAGTTCTCTTTATTCTCTGGCTACCAGGTATCTCAGGTGATGTCTCCAGTCTCACTTTAAATCTCCAGTGATGTGGCTTCTGCTGCTGTATTCCACATAATAGATCTTATCAGAAAGCTTTCTTACTATGCTGTTTCTGAGAGATGTGTTCTGATTTTCCGTAGGTAGAGGATATAATTTTCCTGTCTCCTTGTTCTCTCCCCCATAGTGCTAGATGGGACTGAACCATGGAAGGGACCATAGCTGCTGTTTTTAGCACTTCAGCATTTATAACAAATGTTTTTTGCCTTGCAATACATGTGGAGTTGGAATCAGTGTACTCTTACAAAATAACCATTGTAAAAGATGCTCGTGGTATGGTGTGGGGGACCTCTCAGCTGTGGCTTGATAAGAAAAGAAAGTAAAATGGGCAAGCTGGTGTTGGTTTCATGTAGTTCGAGAATCACGGAAGACTGGGTGATTCTTTTATTTTTTGTTTTCCTAGTGTTTTTAAGCTTCAGATGTCAGGATGCAACTCACTTTCTGTTTTAGGTAACACAGATGAGTTTGAAGTTATGCTGAAGTGTGCACACTTGGTGGAACGGATGTATACTCATATTGCTGCAGAAATGGAGGATTTTACTGTGTTTTCTGCTTTCATCGTGGCTCAGTATGTGACTGAATTGCAGAAGGTAATGTGTTCTCATCTGTCTTGAAAGCACTGTGGTATTGTGGTGGCTTTGGAGCACAAAGGCGATTTCCAAAGGCAATTGTGTTAAGTTTTGTAAAACCTGTGAAGTTATAAAAGTTGCTGTGCATCACAGGAATACAGGTTTGATCCAGATTCTCTGTTGTGTTGAGCAAGAGTTCCTGAGAATCTTTTTTACCCAGCTCCTGTAAACTTTCTAAAGGGGTTTGTGGTTTTCTTAAGGCACAACAATGCAATGCCTATTTACAGAACTGCTTTGGTTTTCTGTCATGTTGGGTGTCGCTTTTTCTTCATGTGGTAGTTAGGTTCTTCTCTCAGCTAGCCTCATTTGTCCAGTACTGATAGCTGTTAGGGCCCCATCTGGCAAAGTAATGGATAAAAATTCTCCTGCAAAATATTTTTTTAATCTGATCTGGATGAGTAAGTGAATGGAAAAAATGTTATCAAGCCAGAGAATTCTTAGCTTTTCAGTAATGCTTTTTCTATACCAAAGATATAATTACGATCCTTACTGAAAGCAACTACCCCTGCTACTGTGGGTGCCAGAACCAGGTCAGTAGCTTCTCACATCCAGACCTAAGTTCAAATTGTCATTCTGTTCAGCCTAATGGATTTAGATTTCACCAGGGTTTGAATGCTGCTTGTGTTGCAGGTACATGCAAATTGATTATTTTTGGCTTTGGCCTAGGCATGTGCTGAAATGCTGAAAAGGAATGTGCTGAAAGGAATTTTACTCTTTGTTTTTAGGCTTTCTTACCACACAAATATCCTAAGTGGTGCTATGTATGTTTCTGAAAGATTATGGTGTAACCAGTATAATGGAGCTTAAACTCAGCTGCCTTCTCTATTGACCGGCTTTTTTACAAGGTTTGGGAGCAAAACAATGGGATATGTCAGTTTTTAGCCATATTATTTAGTGTTCCTGGTAAGTTGGTTATTGCTTACATAGTAAACATAGTAGTTCAGCAGATACTAAGGACAAATTACTGTTAAGACTACTTCTGCTCTATTTAGATAGATATCTAATTTGTTCATTGCTGAATGTAAGTTAGAAAGCCTGACTTGAATTGTCAAATGACCTTTTCAAGTTGAAAGGACACTTGCCTCAGTATTAGCAGGAGTACAAAGTCTCATGAGACTTCTTGGAAAGTTCTGTGCAGCACTTTCACTGGGAAATGGAAAATGATGGATGACAGCTGAAACCACAAATCAGTAATGTATGCATGGAGCCTTTGGACATGGAAAGGGGAATTGGTATAGTGAGCCACCAGACGCTGTGACAAAGGGGTGTTTTCTGTCTGACAGAATAGATTGATCACAAGTAGGTGATGATTTATTTGCTCATTAGACTGGTGAGAATTGATGGATATGGGAGGAAGGGGATGCCTCAGCATGCCTGTCTTAAGGGGGGCATGTATACATCTTTCATGTTGCTCTGCAGAGGGAGAGAAAAACTCCTTTAACCATTCATCTCTTCTGAGTCCAGATCAGTGGCTTTCAGCCTGTGATCTGAAGACCCTGTGGGTCCATCAATGGTAACTGAGAAAAATATGTTGGTAGATTTAAGTCTTTATATGGGCGTCCACACACTTACTGGAACCCTTTCAAGGGACTGCAAACTAAAACTGATGAAAGCTACTGGCCTAAACGGTCACTTACTCCTAAAGTAGTTGTGTAACGTGTTCCCTCAGTGCTGCCTCTTTATACCAGGAAATAAAACATCCTTGTGAATTATTTTGTGTTAATCTAGAAAGATTCCTTGCTGGAGTGGGTGGCATCTATAGCCTCTTTCATACTGTTGACAGTGCTTTTCCCTTGTCTATGAGCTGTTGCTTAATTCAGCAATAGTGAAATACCTCTTCACACATTTAATGCCTCACATCAAGAGCTCTGTAATGCTTGACAAATTGGTTGTGCTAACTATATAGACCATAAAACTCTTACAGGCATAATTAACTGCCAGCCAGTAGTGGCAGCTGTTTAAATCTTTGGTTCTGCTTCCCATAGTGTTATTGGAGGGTGTTTATAGGAAACTGCACTGCAAAGCAAGAACAGCCCAAATAAGGCATGGGTCCAGATTAATCAGTGATACGAGGGGTGCAGTTCCATTAACTGCAGCTCTGAGGTGGTATCTGCTTATCAGTGGTTGTGGATTTTCCTGTCCTTGTTCTCTGCAGTCATTTCTCTGCCCTAGGAAGGGAGAGCCCAGCTCAGTGCATTCACTGGGAGTTGTGATGCTCAACTGTTCTGTTGAACATGGTGTAGGGAGAAATAGCATCTGTTATAAACCAGCCAATAGATCAGCTGACACAGAGGGGGAAAAATGTTACAGCATTTTGGACATGCAAACTCTTCAGGGACACAGATCCAAAGAAAGGCTCATGTGCCTTAATGCCTGCTGTATGTTTTTCCCAGCTATGTTAGCAGGTCTAATAAAATACATTAACTGTTTTACATTTAGGGCAGAAAGAGAGCAGGAGCCTGTCACAGTGATTAGGAGTGCACTTCATTAGCGGAAAGTTTATTAGTTGCTTCAGGAAGAAAGAAGTCTGAATTTTAATGACAGCTTTTTATGTAATTGTCATTAGGCCTGGAGTGCAGAGGCTTAGGTCTGGAGGCGTAAAGCTAATTTGGGGATTCAGCAAAGATAAGACGTGGTTCTGCTGGCAAAAATAATGTGATTATGCCAGAGGCCAGCACCGCCTCAGGCAGTGAAGTATTTATCAAGTGATTTGTGAGCAGAGGACAAATTTCAGTTAGCTTGAAGCACCAGAGGACTCTGGAGTCAGCACTGATGTTCCTGGTTGTGGTAGCAGTTCTTCTGGTTGTGGGGTTGGGCAAGGGTAATGGCAGGAGCAGGGCACTGAGTCCCAAATCGTTCCTTGTATTCTTTCAACTTTCTGCATGACTTCAGGCAAGGTACCTGATTCCTGATGTTAAAACTGAACAAGGACATGTTCGTCTCCTGCTTTTTGAAGGCTTCTTTTATTAAGGCTTATATGTTGAAGTCCTCAGATACAACTTGCTAGATAGATATCAAGTTGCTAAGTGATAAGTTAGAATTGATTGACTACCCAACGTAACTGATAGCGTAGCCTAAAGGAGATGCTCACTTGAAACTGAGTCTTAGTAGCATACAGCTAGTATGAGACAAACAGAATATACTGAAATGTGTAATCCAGGGCAAGTATTTTAGGGTTTTTTAATTACAGCTTTTCTGCTGAGGAGTTTTCATGTGATTCCAAGATGATCAGTGTCTTTGCCTCCACAGCAATGTGTATAGTGGCACTCTTGTGGATTTTATTGCAAGTGGCAAGCTTGTTCTGCAAAACGTATTTGCAAAAATCAGGAAAATATTGCACAAGTGAAAATCTTGGATTTTATCTAATGATCTGTTCCAGATGGTCTGATGCACTGGATAACATGTTGTCAGCATTTAATGTATACTGACTGTGGAAAGGCTATTTTCTTGCCTTTTTGTCTTCAAGTTTAATGCAGTTTTTTCTTCTCGTAGGTGACTTTGCACCCGGCTGTGAAGAGACATCTCACAGAAGGGATATATCACATCCTTGACCTTTGCATTGAAAGGGACATCAAGTTCTTAAATGTGTCACTACCAGCAGGTGTAAGGGAGGTCTTTAAGGATCTGTATAATGATTACAACCACTATCACAAAGCAAAAAAACAGGGGGAGGAAAAGTATACTGCATGATGAATCCTTCCTGGTGCTGCATAGTGAGTTATGAATTGATCTTGCAGTGCTCAGAAAATCCTCAGTCGCTGTTCGGTTTGGGATGACTGGTAAGGTCAAATCTGAAGAGGGTTCTATAAACGTGGGTTGTGTCTATCTGTACAGCCAGCTTCCATCACGGTGGAGAGGGGAGCGGGGAGGGAGGGTGTGCTGTTAGTCTGGTCCTGCTGTGTGCCACAAAGGGCAGAGCTGCTGCTCCGGTTTGTGCCCCCAGGGGACTCAGTGGGAGCCCTGGGAGCTCGCTGCAGTCTGGCAGCAGGTGTCAGGCTTCAGGCTTTGGTACATGATGGTGCTTTTCTGCAGAAGCTATCATCTGGTGTAAAAGCCAGTGAGGGTTATAACTCCTCTGCTCTTGCTTACATGGTAAGCAGAATTAAAGCAGTTAGCTTATTTTTGTACTCTGTTGCTGTACCTTTTATTACTGAAGAAATTTCTGAATGTTACACACCTGCACGGTAGGCTACTGTGCAAAACTGTGGAAATACAGTAAAAAATTTGAAAGTTTGTCTCTCTTTGCTTGATTGGTTTTGCTCTTGAGTCCAGCCCTGGGCAGCCTCGTCTGACCTACTGAATTTCCTTCCCAGCTGTATTGTCCTGTGATCTCATGATAATCAGAAAGACTGACTACTTACAGCTCTGGTTGATTTACTGTCATTAAGCAATTGCACTTAGTCATCTGATCAGTGGTCACTCTCTGTACATTTTTAGCTTGTGAGAATTGCTAAGTACCGAGACCTATCTGAGACCCTTTTGGTCTAAGCTGAACCTTGTTGCTTTGCATTCGCTCTAGGTTAAGAGCAAGCCGTGGACATATTGCAGCTCAGCTGACAGTACTTTAATAAGCTGTGGTAAATGAATCACATTTGAGCCTGTAAGAAGCTTTATCAACTATCTCCCTTTCATTAGCTAAACTACGGAAGTTTATTTTCTTGAAAATGATAAAGATCTAAACTTTTATGTAAGCGGTCAAACAATTTTCACGCATTCATGCAGTTCATAGTAAGAGCTCAATACTCTCATGTGATTCTCTGCTTTAATCTATAGGCAGGGGGTGGGCAGAGGAAGGCTGGAATGTGGCTTACCACTTTTATTGGATCCACCTGCCACATAGCGAGGTCCAAAGGATGGAGTTTGGCCGGGGCAGGTGATTCCACGTGGCACGGACGAGAGAGATGAGCAGGGCTGTGGGGGAGCTGGACCTCGGGGCAGGGCCACGGCGTGGCAGGGCAGCT